TACTTTAATTTCAGTATTTTTTCTCATAATCGGACATCTCTGATAAGTGTACAAAAGTAATGTATTAAAAAGTAATGTAACTGTATTAAAACGAGTTATTCATTTTCGATTGGAAATCAATCAAAATCGGTTTAACACTTCTTAAGATAATATCAGTTTGTAATTGTATAGTTCCAGGTGTATCAACAGGGAATAATTCGAAATTTCTTAAAATCGTTGCAATCACAGCCTTCATTTCGAGCATGGCAAATTTTTGACCTAAAATAAAAAAGGATAATTTTTTTTAATATTTGATAACACCAAATCTTACCGATGCAATTTCTTGGTCCAGCGCTAAAAGGAATATAACTATATGGGTGTTTCCCCATAACATTTTCGGTTAAAAATCGATCGGGGTCAAAATTTTCCGGATCTTTATAATATTTTGGATCGTGATGCATATCGTAAATACCTAAAAGAACGCTTGTATCTTTCGGTAAATAATAACCACTCGGTGTTTCAATATCTTCGCTTAAAACTCTTCCAATAAACGGTACGCTTGGATATAATCTCAAAGATTCCTTTATAACGCGCTCTAAATATTTCATTTCGTTTAAATCTTCCATATTAAAATCACGTTTAGTTTCGTTTAAAATATCTTTTAATTCCTCGCACACTTTTTCTTGCACATCTTTATAACTAGCCAATAACATTAAGGTAAATGTTACACTTGCAGCTGTCGTGTCATGTCCTTCGAACATAAAAGTATCGACTTCTTCTTGAATTCCTTTATCGTCGATGTTATTCCCTTTTAATTTCGCTAATAATAACAAATCGAGCATTGCCAAACGTTTTCTTGACTCAATTTTGTTCTCTTTTTGTATGATGTCGTTCAAGTTAAATGAAGACTCGCGATTTTTTATAACGTTCGATGTAAATTTATGGAGATAGTTTAAAATGGAACGAGTTTTCCAATAATTCGGAGTTAATTTATGTAAAAAATCATTATGTTGCCACGGAGTAACGTATCGATCAACTGTTAAATTGCCCGTTGTGTAAATAGCTTCTTTATATTTCTCCCCAGATCGAATTTCTTCTAATTTTGTACCCATCGCGGTTTCTAAAAATCACCAACAAAATTAGATTTAAAAAAAAAAAGTCATCAAATTTTAATTACTAACCGCAAATTGATTGCAAAGTAAAGTCGGTGATTACAGATAAAACATCGATCGATTCGTTGTTTAATTTTTCAATGCTATTAATTAACTTCTTGCTCTCATCGATGAAAATTTTTGTGTATTGATTTAAAATGGTAAAATGAAACGTTGGGGTTAATAATTTCCTGCGGTGCTGCCATTTCGCCCCGTTACTTAACAACAACCCTTCACCCAGCCAATTATTTAACGGGATATAAACCGTTCCTTTTTGTAAATTTTTCATTTGCGAAATAATCGCTTCGATATCATCCGGTGAAGTTAAAACAATCACGGAAGAAAAACCAACGGTTAATTTAAAAATTGGGTTGTAAATTTTTGCGTAATCTCGTAAAGTTTGAAATAAATCGGCTACAACAAAAAAGTTATATACATTAAATCATAACGAAAAGAAAAAAAAGTCCTTACCGGGTTTTTGTGAAATTAATTTTGTATCACCAACAATTGGAAAACCTTTTGCACCTGGAATTTTTTTAAGATATCTCATTTCATTAAAACCCCGAATAAGTTTGTACACAATTAACAACAAAACTAAGCAATAAATAATCCATAATGATGGTAAATAATGTTGTAGTTGCGAAAAAATGGAACCTATATCCATGGTTCGCTTTTGCATTACTTTGTTACAATGATGATGTAATGAAAACACGAAGGGAGTTTATTTGATGAATCAGTTTTAATGGTATTATCGCAATTATGTGTTGATGTTTCGTCTCAAGAGGTCAAGGTTGTTAAATAGCAACAAAGAACTAATTAAATTTAAAATAATTATCAAAAACATTTTGTTATAAAAAAATTAATTTTTTATCGGTTAACGTCATAGTGAGACGTTAAATTGTGAATTAAGTTCAAGGAGATTTAAGGTCAATGGATAAAGAAATTTATCTATGCGGACAATAAAAATTAATGAATAGCGAGGTTAAGAATAAAATGATTAAATATTATCTTTTTTTTTGATTTTAACATAAATTATAGATTAAATTAAATTAATTAATTAAAAATTTACTAAGTTTTATAAACGTCCTCTCTAGTGTGTCTAATAGTGATGGATAGTGATTTTGTGAAAAGCCTTATACCGGAATCCCTTTTGGCCGGATATCCGATTATCCGGCATATCTATCCGGCCATTATGGTTATAATTTCTAGTACATTTCTGAAGTGATATCCTACATTGCCACATTATTGAATTATCAATAATGTGTTATCATTGCCACTTATTCCTGTGAATGGTGGAGTACTAAGCAATAGGTTTTTAATATCCGTTCCACCACTAGTGTCTAATATCTTTGGATACTATCATGTACCTACGGGCATATTTTAGAAAAGCAATTATATGTTCTGATAAAAGAATTTCTCCTTCAACAGATAGTAAATTTAATATTTAATACGTATGCCACCTAAAAATCAAAACATCGGATTAAAATTGGATATAACACAATTTCTTTCTTCTATGTGTTATGTGTATAGCTAAAATTAACCCGTTACACAGTGATTTATGTTAATAATTATCTAGTCGATTAGTAACCTAATAATTTCTAAGTGGTGGCTTTAATTGTATTAATCGAATTACATGTTCTATTGGTCTGTTGAGATCAATGGCCGTTATTCGTAATGAAATTAGCAACCAATAATCTCTCATTCCGTAATAATTCCTCATTTCATTCAATTTGGTAAAACAATTTGTCGGTTTTTATCCATTTGTAATCTTGATGATGCAAAACAACATTAAATAAATGGTGAACTAAAAATTGAATTACAGATAGCTTCTATAGTTGATGATATTGAGGCATTTAATGTCTTCTTCCACTTAGTCCATAAGTGTTTTTCCGACCACAGCATCTTAGTAATTCTCTTTCTCCCTCATTCTCTCCATACCCATCCAGTGCAAGCAGCCGATTTTTATGAATTTCACGATGTCTGGATAGCCATTGGCCATCACACCTCCAAATATGTGTCGCAGGATTTTTCTTTCCAATGTTGCTAGTAATGTTTCGACGTTCTTGGACATTACCCAACTGCATGTACCTGATTTGATCATCTTTTGATCAACCCAGCTTTTTCGCTTTAAATTTTTATAACTGTTGTTTTTTTCCGAGGCTAGGTAATTGGGCTAGGTGTTATATAAGTATATAATTTCATTTCTACAAAATCTTGTTGTCTAACATCAGTATTAATTATTTTGCGTCTTAGACAAAGCGGAGAATTGAGCCCAACCTTATTCATAACGCATGGTAAGAAAGCAAGGGAGTGGAAACAGAGGAAGACCGCGAGACACTTGGGAACCAAGTTCCTGTTTGATGTTTAATGTTTAAGAAATTCCTGCATAAACAGAAACATCTCAATACTAACTCTCTTTTTGATAAATATCCGAGTGAGAAAATTCCACACTATCAACGTTTATTTTCACTTCATTTCCGTTTCTACACCAGTTTTAATTATCCATAAATACCAAAGAAACCAGCAATTTTATCGTGGCATTTGAAATTTTTAATTAAGCTCGAGGTAATATAAAGGGTTTCCTTTTATATTCTTGCCTTTTCCCACTTTTATCCGGTTACAAAACGGCGTTTCACAAAATTATAAGCAAGAAATTCCATAAATTTAATACGATTTGCTGCTTTTTTAAGCTTTCTTCGGTTGAACAACGAATGTTAAATCAATCGAGCCTAAATAAATTAAATATATCGGAAAAAATGATCAAAAGAGATTTACAAAAGCTTCAATCACGCGTGTTAAGGTCTTTTTTTCACGTGAAAAATATTGATTATTTATGTTTAAAATTATCTCTCGTTTACAATTTAAGAAATATTTATTTTGTGGATTATCTTACATTACTTAAAATGCTTTTTTTTTTAATCTTCAGAAATTACTCATGTTTTATTTAACGTAATCCTTTTTAATTCACCTGTAGTAGAATTTGAAATCGGTCACGGAGGACATTTTAATTATTCAACGTTGAGAATGTTCCCGGCAGTTCTCGAGTGGCCGTTGAAAATTAGAGTCTCGCGTGTCTTTCTATTTAGCTAAGTTAAAATAAAGAGGCAATAATTTAAAAATTACAATTTCATTGTTGAAAATAAAAAAAGGAGTTTTTAAATTAAACTTTTCTTCTCAACACTTAATTTTCATTCTTGTCGTAAACTTAAATACAATCGTAAAACACTATTTTGAAATTGCATCGAGAATTGCGAAAAAAACTTCATTAAATTGCATTTTATGTTCTATAAGGTTTTTAATTTTAACGTGAATTCGTATCTTTATCCTAAAAAAGCATTATTATTTTTTTTTATATTGAAGTATCGTTATTAAAGTTCCTGGGACACGAAACTAAACCCAGCTTTTACGTGGACGAATAAATCCTTCAATGTATAGTAGTACTAGAAGGGGCTTTCAGTATGATTTCCCCCGGTTTATTAACGTCCGGGAATGCCGAGCACAGATTCTCAATTACTTCCCACCGTGCTTCTTTATAATTCCTAAAAGCTAAAACGTATATTTACAGCTCAATTATAATTATTTTATTAACCATAAGATTTTTTTTATTATTAAATTTTATTTTTTCAAATCTTACCGATTTCAAGGTTATGTTCCTCAAAAGCTTGAAACTTTCATTGAACGATTTTATTACTTTCCGGATATCGAAAAGTTCTCGTAATACTTAATTTAATGTCTTCGGAAGCGATTCAAAAGATAATTGGCTCTCCGAAAGCAATTTTTATCGAAATACTTGCGATTAAACTCAAAGATTTTAAAAACTGTCATTCTCTTAATGACAGTTGACGAGTTGACAATTGACAACAAAGTGATAACCTTAAAATAACAAGTTAGTTTTAGGTAAATACTTTGTAATATTTTAATTTACTTTTAAATATAAAAAATATGATTAAATTTATTAAATTTATAAATTAATTATTGTAAAATTAACAAAAAATTAATTGATTTAATCGTTTCTAACTTCATTAATGAAATTATTTCCAATTTAAATCAATAGATGGCGGTATATTTTATAATTAAATATTATTGTTTTAAAATTTAATTTGCTTTTAAAATTATTATCAATTATCTGAATTCCCAATGGCATCTGAATCCATATTTTCCCAACATCCGTTTATCTACAATTCAAAGCCGGGAATGAAATAAATCACAGCTTCATCTGATAATTACAATTAATCAGATAGAGCCCGGTTATTAACACGGTTTACTAAGAGATCTGTTGATCTAACTCCAAGATAAAAACACAAAAACCGGGTTGTTTAACGGTTTAAAAATTTTTCCTGAAATTTATTCATGTAGGTCAGAATGAAAACAGTCCGAAAACCGAGCTGAAACCATCCGTTCCATGCAAATTTAAGCAAAATATTTTACCGGTTCCAACGAATCTATATGGAAATTTTAGTCATTATCCACACCCCTTAGAATAAAGAATTAAAAATCAGCTATTAAAGCGATTATAGCAAATATTTCGAACATTAAGACTAAATTAAATCAGATAATTTTAATGAAATTCTTAATCGAAATAAATAAGAATAAGAAAAATCAGAAACCTTATCTTCGAGTTATTAAAGAATTTTATTTATTTTTATTTATATACATATATAAAGTTTAATAATATACTCGTTAAAGGGGTTGACAAGGTTTGAAGAGGGGTCGGAAAAGTTTTAGATTTGGAATTAAATTTTGGACTGGAAAATGAGAGAAGTGGGGATTAATCTACAAATAATAATTTTTGGGTCGCGTAAAATATCCGGGGAGAGTTTTGCTGCTTAACAAGTTCTGTGTGATGGCAAAAATTGGCCCCCGACGACGACGATTTTAATGAAAACGTCAACTCCAGACAACTTCGAAACAATCATTATTTTTTTTTATGAGATTTTTCTCCTTTCAATCCACCCCGTTTATACTTTAATTCCGGTAATAATACCAACTGACAAAAAAATCTTTTAAATTCATTCAATTTGAGGTGGAACGAAAAAAAAAACAATTTTACCTAATAATAAAAGTTGTAGCAAATTTTATTCCTAACAATATTGGTCTCTTGCACTTTTGCTCTAAGATGCACAGATATCGAGAAAAATACGAAAATATTAATATTTTTCTTCTGTATTCGGTGATAAATCGGTAGGGTTGGCAACGCTGCTCATCACTGTCAAAGATATCGTAACTTCTATAAAATTCAAGATGGCCAAAAACAAAACACTAATAAATTCTGTCATTTAAATGTTTAAAAGTGAAATTTTATGTGATTTTATGATAGACGTAGAGTGTGATACATCAATTAAGGTTAAAATTTGCTGATTATAACAAAAATTTTGTTTGTAACGTTTTTTATAAAAAAATATAACATGTTAATTTAGAAAATTACTGAAGGGTAGCGTATAAAATAAGCTTATAAATTGATTTAAACGTTAATCTCATTTAAATTTTTGTTTTCATACATAAAACCTTTTGTATTATAATTTAAATAAACAACAAGCTTTCATCTTTTGTTCGGTGGAAAACAGATATTTTTATCCTGGCTTTATTCTATATCCCGTGTTTAATTTAGAAACGTTGTGGTATGAAAATTGGGAAACGCACATAAAATAGGAAATACAACCAAATGCAGCTCCAACAACAACGAATCCCGCTCTAAACCTGCTTTACAGTTACCAGTTACCTAGTTCAAAGCTCCTGTTTACGACATCTGCTTTATAGGAGAAACTAGAATTTCACCTAGTTAATCTAAAAACCTTCAAATGAACGCATAAAGTAGATTATAACAACTCATTTAGTTAATTATTTACGAAATTAATTGAATTTGTGATTCTTAACATTTAAAAAGTTTAGATTAAAAACTAACTAGGTACTAAAACCAAGTAAACCGTTAAAAATAAATTAGAAAAAAAAATAGAGAAATAAAGTGGATGAAAAGATTTAAGATGGTAAGAAAACCTGAAATATTTAATTTTCTGTTGTGTGGAGTTTTCTCGTCACCCTTTAGCTTTCCACTTGGTGTTCTTTTTTTTTCTCTTAGCACACCTCGTCACGTCGCCGTCTTTCACGAAGGGCCATCTTTTTGGAACCACCCCGCCGCCTCTTTAAGATGACGACGACCCCTTTGAAAATTTATTTTCGCGACGATATTTCTTGGCGGAATAATTTCCGTCGTTTTGTTTGAACGAAAATTTTCCAACGCGGGGTTATTTTCAAGATAACGTTCGTTTGGATAAGAAATGCCCTTTATCTTTACTTCCCGAAAAGAAAATTTTTAATAAACGCAAAAAACCGGGTAATCTTTTTAAAGTAAAAACATTAATAAATAAGGTTGAGTGCACTAAATTAAAAGTTGGTTTTAATTAAAGACGTACTCAAAGAGATCCACCACGAAACACTTAAGAAGATGAGAACGAACATGGCGTATGTTCCCAATTATCTGCAAAGTACATAGGCGTCCCGACGCTTAAAGGGACGTCTACGCTTACGTATTAATTAGAAACTCGTCTTCACCACCGACGATAAGCAGCACGTTTATAACGATCATAATGGTTCTTGTAATCTACTAATGATTATGTAAAATTGTTTTTTTTTCAAATTAATTTATCAAATTTGCATATTTTCTTGATATTGACGCATCGAAAAGCAAAAGTGCAAGGGAGCAATATTGTTAAGAATAAAATTTACAACAACTTTTGTTCTAAAAGTTTTTTTATAACATGCTCCGTTTCACGAGTGTACCATTAGTGATGGAACGGATAGTGATTTTACATTTTTATTCGGCATCCACTTCCACCGGATATCCGGTTATCCGGCATATCTATCCGGCCATTATGGTTATAACTTCTGGTGCATTTCTGAAGCCACATTATTGAAATATTTGAATAAAAATGAAATTAATAAGAAAGCTGATAAGATATGTCAACTTATTTGTTGATATGATTCATACTCATATTCCAAGAACTGGATTTTTTACGAATTTTTAAAACTTAATCGGCGGAAATTGCAAAATTCGAAAAACTTATCGATTATTTCAAAAATTTATTTCTCAAGAACTAAAAGTGATTTTTCAAAACGGATTTTTGCATTACAAAGAGGATATTTTAATTAATAATTGGTGATATTTCCACAAGGATCCTTCAAGAAATTAATTTTATAGCGAATTTTGAAAATTATCGATGAAAATTGCAACATCGAAAATTTTATCAAAACTTCAAATATTGTTTTCTCAAAAACTAAAAGTTATTTTTCAAAACGGGTTGGTTCATTGGAAAGAGGACACTTTTATTAACACTTTGGGAAATTTTCATACTCATATTCCAAGAAATGGATTTTATACGAATTTTTAAAACTTAATCGGCGAAAATTGCAAAATTCGAAAAATTTGTCGATCATTTCAAAAATTTATTTTTCAAGAACTGAAAGTGATTTTTCAAAACGGCTTGTTGCATTAAAAAGAGAATACTTTAATTAATAATTGGTGATATTTCCACAAGGATCCTTCAAGAAATGAATTTTATACCGAATTTTGAAAGTTATCGATGAAAATTGCAACATCGAAAATTTTATCAAAACTTCAAACATTGTTTTCTCAAAAACTCAAAGTTATTTTCCAAAACGGGTTGGTTCATTGGAAAGAGGACACTCTTATTAACACTTTGGGAGATTTTCATACTCATATTCCAAGAACTGGATTTTATACGAATTTTTAAATATTAATCGGCGAAAATTGCATTGATATTTAGTAACTATCCGGATAGTTGCTGGATATCCGTTCCATACTAAAAGAGATTCCACCGACATATGGCCGGACATATGGTGAGATTGAGATTAAATAGCACAACGCATTTTGTGACGACAAGGGTGTAAAACAAGGGGGAATACCGAGCCCGATACTGTTCATTTCAGTTTTGGATGAAATCTTAGAACTATGAGGAAAAGACCAGGTAAGAAAGAGCAAAAATAATCTGGTCAAACAGATATGGGAGGCAGGATGGGATTGAAGGAGGAGGAAAGCATGTTTTTAAAATATCATCGTCCTACTAGCATCGGGCGCCCTACGATGATTTTTTGAAACGAAGCATTCTACCCCACCCTGTATATATATATATATATATATATATATATATATACATGATCTTCACATTGTTTTCGGCCATCTTGGAGTTTATAGCAAATATAAAACTCAAAGTATCTCGGAAAGTTTAATACCAAAATAGATCATGTTTGGATTCATTTTAATAGCAAAACCCCTAACCTCGTCTAGTAAGTCTAACTCAAACCCCGCTTCCAAACTCCAGCAATTTAGCATATCCCTCTAAGGTTTCTGTCCACGTCTGGGGACATTTTGGCAACTAGTTTCATATTCTCATAGCTTAAAACTTCGTAAAACCTTTTATCTTGTTTTTTTGAAATTATTACTATATCAGCATGTTAGTTTGTATTATTTTTGGTTAATTAAAGAAGAAGAAGCATTATAAATGTTGAAATAATAGAACATTTAAATTAATTAATGAAAGTAAAATTTGAGTTAATAAATCATTAAGGTTAACGTTGGTGGTTTGCTGCAACTGAAAGACAGAAGCTAAATTCTATGAGGACACGTGGAAAACGTGGCAAGTTGATAAACTGGGTTAATAAAGTGTACGACGAGGACACGGCTAAATCAGAAGTTATGAAATCAATTAGGAAAAGGGGGCGCGCGCGTGACGAAGGAACCTCGTTTGAAAGGGCTTGTTTGAAAATAAACAGATTCAACAAACTTACTTTTAGGTTGTAATCAAATTTTCTATTATAACTTATGATGTAGTTGATCCCAAAAGTTATTCCAGCGAAGTAAGTAAAAATTTAAAACAGATTTTTTTAACTTGATTTTAAATTAAAAAAAATAGACTTCGTATACGAGAACAATATTTTATTTTCAATAAAAACTCTTTTCATTCTCTCAATTTCAAATTGAATTGTGTATGCATAGCTAGTTATTTTCAATTCCCTCTGTCAATGTTTCATATGTTCGACATAAAAAAAAAGAATTTAAGCAAAAGACCGAGTCAATATTTGATTTTGCTTAAATTTCGATACTATCTCTTGTATTAATACCACACTTGAGCTCATTGACAGGATGTTGTTGGCTCTGTGGTTAACCGGAACTATTTGACGGATCATCAAGGCATTGAGCCAATTCAAAGGACCAAAGGTCAATCAGCTCTAACAATTACGCTCAACGCAAATTCAACTTGTGACTCGAATAATCAGAACATGATGATATTTGAAACCTACCGTCCGTTTCCAGTTTCCATACAGTACAGAATGGATATGAAATCGAGGGACCGAAAATATCGTTACAGCTCGAACGAACCGCGTAATTGGCTCAACTAGGACCGAATCAAATAAAAATCATTATTTATCGGAACTCATTCGCTTCATAGTTAATACGGACCTGACAACAACAATACATTTTTGCTAAACCAAAATGTTATTCTATCTCAATTTTAATATTTTATTTTTCAAATTACGTTAACCAAAAGTTTTTTTGTATTTTAAAAATTTATTGCGAAATAATTGTTGAAATAAATTTGATTAAATCTGTTTGATATTGTATAAAAAACGAGGGAACAAAAAATTCGAATATCAAATTCCTATAAAATAAATTGGTACTTTCAGAAATCGAGTATATTTCAATATTTAAATAACATACTCAAAAATAGAGCAAGACACAAATATGAGTCAAATTTTGTTAAACTAAGTATAGCAAAACGGTGCTTTGTTTATTGTAAAATTAATCTCATCGACGATTTAAGCTTAACGCATAATTTACTCGATTCTAGAATATCACTTTTTGTTGAGCAATGACCCGAAACGAATGTTACAAAGAACAAAGGGGATATGTGTATAGAGAACCATCGTTTTCAACGTGAACAATGAAACATAACGGACAATAAAGTACATCTCGTACAAATACAATAAGAGATCTAGACATCAAAAACGATGTTATAAATAGATCTAATTGTGAGTATTTATAGTTGTTAATAATTATTACTTATAATTAGGCAACACAACTTACACTAAACATAATTTTTTCTTTTTTTAATCTTTTTAATTATTACAAATTAAAATGAAAATAAATTTGTGATTAATTTTATTATAACGTGTTTTATTGATAAAAATAATAACATTAAAGAAAAATAATTAATAATCTTAATAATAAGTGTCGCCATCTAACGGATTTGCTTCAAATTAAATTTGAATTGATGACGTTAACCTAAAAATTTCTTTTGATATTTTTTGGCGTTTAAAAGTCACGTGTTATAGTTTTCGACGATTCTTAAAGGTGAAATAGGTGAGAAATAGAAACATTAGCATATATAGTAGTTTTCGAATCTAAAAATTAAATCGTAAACTTGGCAAAACCAGTACAATATCGAGAAAGTAAAATTGTGCCCGTATTTTTACATTTTTCGACGACATGGCAATAACTACAAACTACAAGAGTAAAATTGCCACCCCGTAAATCGCGTGTCACGTTCCATTAACTGGATAGAAATTGCAATGTACGCGTTTTCATTCGGACCTTACGTGATTTTTTGACATTTCCCTTTTTACTTCAGACTACTAAAATTGGACCATTTTTTATTATGTTTTCATTCGAATTTCTTTTTATTGCAGACGTTTTCAACCAGGACAAGCTATTTTTAGTATGGCTCATAGAGTTTCCAATAATTTTCGGTAAGTAAACTAAAATGTTTTATAACTTAACCTCACTTTTAATACCATAATGGCACTTGCAGAAAGTTACAGAATATAAACATAACAGTATTTTTCGTCGTAAACTGTAATTTATAATTACATAGCAGTTATTTCCTCCCCAATGTCATCAAGTTTACTTTCCGGTTCAGATTCGTCATTAAGTTCGAAACACCGAAACCAACTCCAATCAAACTTTACTCCTTTCGAGAGAGAGAGAATCTAATTACCGGTCTGGAAAAACTTTTGAAAGTCCGTTCAATTTGCTCTCGAACATGGGGTTATTCGCCTTCGTCCCTCCTCACACTCATTTTCTTCATTTCTTAATAAATCCCAACTTTTAACGACAAAAATATTTAAAAATTAATAATTAAAGCGGATTTAATTTGTAAAACTTTGTAGATTTAAAAATTAAATTATTAAAGTCGAGAAAACACTAGAATTGCACTTAACGGTCGCTAAATAATTAATATGAAAACTTTTAAAGCAACTTTTTAACAGTCCTATTTTGAGATGTTAATTTGATGTAGTTTTTTTGCAACCTTCTTAATAATGTAAAGGAAACTTTATTCACTAAAAGGTTTTTTAATAATAATCTAAGAAGAACCTGTAACGTGTAACACTGTTAGTAATTCTGTCCATCTTGCATTATAAGATGAGAACTTGTGTAACACAGTTATACAAATAGAACAGATAACAACCGTTTCGGTTGCGGTCAACAGCGGTTTCCTTGAAACGTCTCAACCATATTTCGAGGAGTATTCGGGAGGTTGGTGGTGGAGAAAGTTTCGTGGTAAAGCTTCCGTCTCTCACCCGTTTCCGAGATGATGATGAAGGTTGAGAGGAGTCCGTCCATTATTGTTCGGTCGAAAACGTGATATACCAAGATACACTTACTGCTCGGTTCACCATCCCTTTCAATTTAACCGAGATCCAACAACGTCCATCTCTTTGTAATGTACCTTTTTTTTCAGTACTTCACTAGATAAGTTATGCGAAACATTTTCAATAACTGTCATCATTCTTAGTTTAAAATGAGCATTATTATTTACGAAAAGGGATTAAATAAACCTTGAACTAGAAATATTCGGGTTTAGCCTCAAGTCTGTTAAGATGGCTAAACACGAATGTTTCTAGTTCTAGTGTTAATTAAAATTCTTTTTAAAAATTTTGGAAATTAAAAAAAGTAGCTGTTACCCTAAACCCGAATAATTGATTGCTTATATCGTAATATGATCGCTTCGTCGAAGATAATCAAATTTACAAAGAAAATACGTTTTATACAGTCATTGCTTTTTTAACGTTTTTAACATGCCAAAAAAATCTAACAAAGCTGTAATATATCTAAACGGAACCCAACCCTATACATTTGTCAAACCTAACGGTATGTGAGATATTCGGCTTCAACCCTCCCCAAAACAATGTATACTCATGGAGAACCAGACGTTTTTGCTTCAAAGAAATTAATACCAGGCTATTAGTCACAGCGGCGTAAACATCCTCTTTTTGTTTATACACATCAACCAACTTGGATGTATCTCTATATTATGAAATACGTAACTTTTATATATTAAGATTTTTATTACAAAAATAATTCCATTTTGGTACTCCTGAAAGCTCTCAATATCGATTAGAATCAATATGTTGAACTGATTATTTATACACGAACTCTGACATTTCTATTATTTACTCCACGTAATCTGAGTCTATGGATTTTACAAATGTATTCTGTTTACTTGGTTGTTATAATTTTTTTTTATTCTTAACGAGAGTATTTTTAAAATTATTAGTTTTTTTTTTTTAATTTTCACTGTGGTTTCTGAAATTGCAAAAATCTTTGTTCGGAGGTGGTTTTAGACCTGTCTGAAAGTGAAAAATTTCTACCGCGCTAAGCAATTTAAGAATAATTTATAAGAGAGCACGTACGTCAAGGGAACAGAAGGTTCGTAATTACTCCCCTAAAGGCAACGCACAACGAGTAAGACAAAGAGGGTATGATCCGTCAAGTTACCGGAAACAGAGAAGCTGGAGGTTTCTCTTCAGCGCGCGCGCTTACGCCCTTCTGCAATAGTAATTAACCTTAATTAGGTGAATAGGAGACGTGGTGCGAATCTCCGGGCTCCAATTGGTTAACCCTCGAAAATCGCTGGAGGGAAAGTTATTTGCCTTTGATCCGAAGAGCTTTTTAAGAAATCATATCTCCTTTTCATTTAGATACTTTTTCGTTTTTTTTTTTTTTTTTAGTTTTTTTGGTTGAAAGGTAGTTTTAATGGAATGGAAAGAAAAAGGTGGATTTCATCTTTTCCCTAATGAATATTAAAAATCGGGGGAATGATAGACAAATAAGATACACTCTAGCAAATACGGAAAAAGCAAAAATAAACTGTGTTAAACCCGTACTCACATACGCTTTCGAAACAAGAACAGACAACAAAAGATTTTTTTTTATTTTTGTAACAAGATTGAAGATACTCAGAAACATTTCAAGGACACACTAAAAGACCGAAAAGGAAACACAGATATAAGACATAAATGTGAGATCATCATATACCCGGAATTTCATAAAATTCGCAATATATGAATGCAGTAACCATAGTCTAGTGTTAGTTCTACCATTCGTATTACTCATTATTTGTCTCGAGGAATAAATCCCCAAGTTTATGCGTATAGGTTGAGAATCACCCTGTATATTGCATCTTAAGTGAAATTCACTGTATACATAATCAACTGGCAGAACACGGACACGACGACTTCTGAGAAGACCTCCAAAGAGATATATAAAATCATAGACATCAAGATCTCAAAAAGAACAGATAAGTTGGAAATTATAGACCTAAAGCCTATAATATGTCGAACAAGAAAAAGAGAATAAAAATTATTCAACAAACATGGTCAAGTTCATTTGACATTTGAAAATTACACTAAAACAGTGCAATTTTGTCACGAGGAATCTACACACCTGGACTTGAAAAAGGAATTTTGATCTTTTTCATTATTTGTCATTCTCAATCTCTTCTCCTATAGAGTTTGCAAATTGGAAAGTAGAGAAAACGAATTTTTTTTGGTTTATTGTTCAAACAGATCGATTAAAAGAAAAAAAAACTGTATAAAACGTTCGATATAAAATGAGAGAGAGGAGAGAGAGAGAGAGGTTGAGATGGGGTCGTTATATAACACAGTTTGGCACCACATGGGCCAGTTATTACCGATCCAGAGCCCGATATCGTCCACTAAACGACGTCCTATCGACTCACGAGACTAATATAATTTAATGTAACGGCACCGTATGTATCATGAAAGCAGTCAACACTTTAGCGAATAACTGTATATGCGAAAAATCTTAACGATCTTTTTAATAGCAACGCCTTTACTAACACTAGAAAATTTACCAAGAAAAAAAATAAGTATTATTGAATACCACTGTCAAAATTGACATTTAAACCGAATCATCGTTTACCATCATCATTGGGGACAACAATGAAACGCGAATTTAATAACGCCACTTTTCACGGTTATACGGGAAATTACGCTTCGCACGGGTTTCGTTGTAATACGTCAGCGAGATGTCCATTTCCGATAATAATACGCTGACCGTTCATTCGCTTTCTCTCTCGACACAATTCCGTTGACCGATTGTTATAAAATGTGTTTTGTGGTGTGATCGATTTTTTTTTAAATCTAAGGATAAAATGGAATTTAAGTTCATTATTAATGCATGTAAAATAGAGTTTATTTGAATTTGTCTAGGTGAAAACGATAAAGTGACTAAATTAAAAGAGGCGTCGATGTATAGCATGGGGAGAAAACTTAGGCTCACATTCATTAAATAAACATGCGGTTACAACCGGGATATACATTCCGGACGAGGAGGGACGCTGTGTAAAAGTAATTAAATTTCCAGATGGAACGAACACCCCGTGCGGTGCTATGCAATAGAACGCCCTCCCCGTTTTATGTATGAGTGACGCTCGAAAAGGGAATTAATAATAAAATTCTAATATAATATGAATAATAAAGCTCTTGTTTTAGTGTATTTTTTAAATTAATTAATTTAATAGCCGCAAAATCGTTAGTGGCTAAATAATAAAATTATTAAACACATTTTATTTAAGAAATACGAAATGGATCTGGCAGACGAGTGAAAATGGGAGATGGTGAAACTGGTGAAAGGGAAGATAAATTACTTTCCTACTTTGGAGAGTGATATATCGGGAAGTGGGTTTTCCAAGCAACTTGCCGATGTTATCTACTTTACGGGCTTGAAACGTGCCGTTGGCATTTAATTGTTTGGCAACAAGTCCTTTTCAGTATTCACCTTTTAAAGGCTTATACCATTAGTATTAAGAACTTGTTGAAACGACTAGTTTTCTTAAACATTTTCATTTGTAACATTTTCCGCGTGACCTCTTTAACCTATATATTATTTTGAGGTCACTGAAGGGTATCTCGAATAATACAAAAGTCACATATCTTGGCAGACTATTACTTGACTATATTATACAGATAAGAAATTTAGCGTTTAAGTTATTGCTTGCTCTGAATCTCAAGTCACATTAATAGCAGAATACCAAATACTTCTGACAGAAGATTTAATATATAATAATGGATATAAAGCATGGAATGAAGATATGAATACGATAAGAACAAATTAATCTGCTTTGGGAAAAAATTGTAACATGTCTAAATTTATACCCAACCACATAAAACTTTGAAGTGGGAGACTTTTGATGCAAACGAAATCCATTATCTCGTTATTAAATATCTTTCAGACTTGCTACTAGGACAACAAGTTGGCAGCCTGTAAGGATCATTACAAATTTTCAAATGTAGTGGCTCATGCTGCCAACAAGTTGGCAGTCTATAAGGATAGTTATAATCTTCCAGATGAAGTAGCATTCGTTACTTTATTTTTAGCTGGCCACCAAGTTCTTCCCCTCCTCATCCCCCTCCTCCGTCAAGTACATCGGTCTGTCACAGAGCCCCTCTGTGAATCTCTCCGTATTTTGAGTTATATTCCCCATGAAGAAATTATTGCAAGTGACTTGTAGTTATGTGAGAAAAAACTATATTTTTCATTACTATTCGTTGAATGTGAGTTATCACTTTTCAATGTCAGAACTTGGCCGATTATAATCTAATTGTATGGTGTTGTGTTGTTAATCTAATTGTAACGATTATAATTATTGTTCAATATTGTTAACTACTAATACGATCGTGTACAACCAACATTTTTTTGTCGCTTGCAATGTATGATGCAGAATTTGATACTGAACAATAGTGGTGGAACGGATATCCGGCAAGTATGCGGTATCCGGCCATTTATTTAAATCCGGCCGGATAAAAATCTATTACTTAGTACTCCACCATTCACAACAATTTCTTTGTATCTCTTTGAGGTGTTGAACACAGCAGATAATAATCAACTTCAACCTCAGTAGGACTTTTTTAAGTTGACATATCTTATCAGCTTTCTTATTAATTTCATTTTTATCACTTCAGAAATGTACCGGAAATTATAACCATAATGGCCGGATAGATATGCCGGATATCCGGCCGAAGGGAATGCCGAATATCCGGTATCAGGCTTTTTGCAAATTTACTATCCGTTCTATCACTACTGAACAAGAAAACGCCAATAACGTTAAATCTGTCAAAAATGAACTTGTCTTGTTAATTCAACTACATATTATCAAATATCATTGAAATGAATTAAAGGAAAATTTGATATTTTCAATATTTTTAGCAAATTATTGTCAAACTCGTTGCATTTCTCATCCTTCATCGTATTTGTATGATCCTGTATATTGATCGATCGAAAAAGCCCAAAAAAAAAATTGGTTAAAAAAGAGAGATGAAAAAGCTGCGATAATTCATAGGGACGATTCGATTTAGATTCGCGAATGTTTAGTAAATGTCGACCTCCCATCCCTTTTTTAGTTCTCTCCATGTTTTCATATCTCCGTGTTATGGGCAGGGATGAAAACTGGAGAGAGAGAGCAAGTATTTAAGAGAGAACGTTGTCGGCTGCAACAAAAACAGAAAACCAAATCCTCTATAACGTATATTATCGACGTCTCGTTTTTCCTATAAATTGACTACTATAACGGCATTCGATTCGTACTCCGTTGGGTACTAAATACTGAAATACAGTCGAATCGAATTGCTTTACTAATTGGTAGCTATGACCTAGAGGAGTTTAACTTTTATCGAGATATATTCTTTTCATCTAAAATGGATACTAAAATCATTATTTTGCTTTATAGTCGGTCTATTTGAGATTTAAAAAATATATTATTTGGTTAATATTTTAACCGGAAGAGAAAAAAAAGCCGGAAGAGAAAGATGATAATAATAAAACTCGGTGCCATATTGGCGACATCTGCTAGAGAGTTATTTGTTTAACAATGCAGAAGTTCCACCCCAGTTCCATTCCAGCGCGCCGATTTGAAAACTAAAAAATCGTCCGTCGCTGAAAATTTTCCATGAATTTCAACTTTGAACCCAACCGGAGTGAGATCGTTTCATTTTGCTTTACCACCCCCGTTTTATTTCAATTCGCAGGGAGAGAACGAACTTTAATTCCACTTCTTCGAACTTCGATTTCCCCCCAGTTCCATCGAATATTTAGACGTCAATCGAAACGGGCGAGACGCGAATTGATTTGTACGTATAATTTTAACGATATCTCTTTATTAAACGGCCGAGGCATACAAAAGCCACAATAAGCCTGCGCGCTTATTGAATTTGGCAAATTGCAAATTTCAGTGATAAATTTCCCCACTCGTATTATAACGAAAACGCCATCGGTCGTGTTAGTTTTGTATTTAGCCACTCGACAAACTAAAATTTGACAATTATACAAAATTAACGATGTGAACGTTAATTTTCTACGATGAGTTGAGATGATATATATTTCATAAAATTTTTTTTTAATTGAATTTACGAAAATGCATCCCGTGTTGTGTTCAAAATGGATTTTACAACTCCAAGGGGGTTTTATAAAAGTAGCATCTCGTCGCCGCTTTCGGATCATATTAGTCTAATAACGTTACCTGCCGCATTATCTCTACTTTTCTGTACATTCTGTACGTACTTTGTGAAAGTAAACGACGACGCTACGAAAGTGCTGCTTCTCATCGTGCAGAAGCGTCCTAAATTTACAATGCGCACATGTAAGAGGGAGAGACAAAATGTTATTTGAAAACGGCACGATCCAACGCGCCTTACGTTTTGTTCATTTTTCTTTTAATGTTATTAGAACGGGATCCCTTTCTGGCTGCGGGGGTTACATGCAAATAGTTTCAGCGTCGTGTTTATTTTCGCCGAGTGGATCTCTGTATAAACAGATTATGACTTTGTTCAGTTCACTAACTGCGTGAACTCGTTTCTATATTTCGTAATCTAATTTATAATTAATCTATTAAGATGATTTAATTATCTTAGATTAGTAGTAAGAAAAATAATACAATAAATGAATGAATCTAAGAAGACTGCTACATGCTACATCCCGAGAAGAGGTGTACAGGGTGTCCAAATTTCGATGGGTACATCAGTTATTATGAAATATAGAAAGTTGCGGCTTTCGCGAACCTGAGCGGTTTTTGAGTTTTTTACAGTTTCCTGTAAATTAAGAGGCGGTATTTAAATTACGGGGTATTATTTTTCTGGTATTTAAAAAGAAATAATTATGTTTATTACACCAACTGTTAATATGGAAATATTTAAAGGATTGCATTGTTTTGGATTGGAGAAATATGTTTTTTTTTAATTTTTAATTATAGTACCGTAATTTACAGGAAACTGTCAATTTCATTTCTTCGACGACACTAAAAATTAATTAAATTGCTAGAAATGGAAAGTCAGCGTCCAAGTGACAAAGCGATGGAAGGATAGTTGGACTTCAATATAGCAGGAAAACTCGTGGAATTCCCCGCCTTTATTAATGAACATGGAATAGATCAACTTGGGGAATAACCTGAGTTGGTAATATTAAATTAAATACAGTGTGTTAATTAATTATAGTACCCGTCGTCATCATTGTAAGTATGCAACCAATATCACAGTATTTTTATTTCAATACGCGATTTACGTACGATGCGTATTGCACTGTAATATTGGTTGCATGCTCGCAATGATGACGTCGGGTACGATAATTAATTAACACACTGTAGATAATATTAATAGTGTGATTTAAAAATATTTCTTAGTATGTACTTGAAAGCATAAGTAGTAAACTTGAGAACATCTGCAACAACTTGTTCCGTATCCCAAGGAGAGTAAAATTTCTTACTGTTGGGCAGCAATAAAAATGAGAATCGCTTTTGAAAACACGGTCCGTACAGTACAATACCGACAGAGGTCAAGTGGCTCTTCTTTCGGTGGCGGTAGATGCGTCCCTTGACGACGACGATGTCTACTTAAATCCATGGTGAAGGATCGCCTTACAAAGTGCGCGCAGAAAACGACCACCACAACCGAGTTTGGATGCTCTTTTTTTCCTGTCCGTTCGTTTCGTTTCGATTTTTATGAAGATAGCGAAGTCCCTTTTTAAATTTCTCCAGAAACGTCAGTTAGCAATAAAGAAATCGTCTGTTGCGCGGTCAAAAGGAGAACCCCAAGCCTTTGCGGTCTTTTAAACGAAACGACAAAGTCCGCAAAGGCCCTTTTTAAATTTCTTTTTTAGCTCAAAGTTTTAATAATCCCGTGGACGGTTATGAAAGTACATAAAAAAAAATCAAATCAGTTCTAATTAAATCAAAAACAAATTAAGACGAATAATCGGTAATTATAAAAGGGTTCGAAATTAACCCCCAATTTAGGAAACCGTGAAATTCACACCAATTAGACGCAACATCTGCCCTATTCCAATTAATACAAACCCCCTTTTGCCCCAAATTCCTCAAATAATAATTTCATCGAATTACTAGAAAGTTGGATTTAATAAATTTTCAGCACACCTTGTTCCGATCATTAATTAATCTCGAAATTTACGATTTCGTTCCAAATTTAACTATAATCCCGTTTTTTATTGTTCCAGAAAAATCATCATCTACAACAATAAAAAGAATCTAGGATGTCGTAAAATCAATTCGTTTTGAAAAATGCCATTGAGGGTATTGAAGGAGGTTTTTGATGACGTCATCGAGGGGGTTGCCCTTCAAAGGGATGAAAATGCGACACAAGGTAAGTAAATAAATTATTGTATTATTAGATTTTATTGTTCGGTAGACGGAATTGTCGGGGAAATAACATTTTTCGTGTATCTAGATCGAATATATTTTATGGATTTATGTTCTTTTATGGTTTCGAAACGAAAAGAAAATAGAAACCAGGTATAAACGAGTAAAAACGAGCAAAAAAAAACGTTCGCTTTCTATTATGTGGATTCAGAAACTACCTACAAATGTTACATCGAATTTCGCAAAGCAATAAAGGAAACCATAATTTTGATTTATACGGAGTAACGCAACGAATTATTTAGTTGGTGTATTCTGTATTCAAATTTAAAGAAAACTGTTTAGTATTAAAAAATACGTATTCATAAAATTTATGTAAAATCGGTTAAATTTATTAAAATACTCTTCGTTTTTCGATGAATACAGGGTGAGTTTTTTCCATGTTTAGTAAGGAGATCTCGAAAACTAGCGGAGATAGAGAGACGATGAAATAGGGAAAGAATTTCAGTTTCATAAACTCAATTTAATGAGCTCTGAACACGCCACTTTGCCTTAAGCTGTCATAACCAAACGTATCTATCAATTGTTTCCATAGCATACTACCTGAACAGTTTTCCAATTAAAAGAATAAATGGCTATAATTTATTTATTAATAAAAATATCTATGTCAAGTGGTATATCATTAAAATCGTTGAGAGAAGGCCTTTTTTATAAAGTCATGGTCAACTATGGTTCTATTAGAAAAATTCAAGTTTGTGTCATAACTCATAACTCAAAAATTATTGCTAAAATAAAAAAATCAATTAGACTGCTTTATTAAATATGTCATACCCTACAAATTTTTCCTTTACACATTTTTCCTAAAATCAATAATAGCGAACAAGGTATCGAACAATATAACAAAAAAACAGTTTTATCCAAAAAACAAAAAGCTCATTAAATTGAGTTCATGAAACTGCAAGTCTTTCTCTATTTAAACATCTCTCTATCTCCGCTAGTTTTCAAGATCTTTATACTAAACATGGCAAAAAACTCACCCTGTATATAAGTCCCGTATTGTTATAAATCGTTAGGGCGATCTCAAATGTCAAAGTTAAGTTTACAAACCACGCCGCGCCGCGAATTCTAAAGAACCATCTCTTAAGCATCTCTGAAAACTTCTGTTGTCTCATTCACTTCAACCGATGTCTAAGCAGTGAGTTATTTATAACAAATTTTGTATAGTATATAGTTCCACCCGATTTTTGTTGAGTTGAAGTTGTTGTTTACTTGTTTTGAGTTTAAAAGCTTTTTAACATCTTATTATTCGTGCCCAAAGGCAAGGCTCCTCATTTAGAGATCGATATCTTCTCAATGAAAAAAGTAGCGGTAAAGTTTGTTGTAATCACTAAACATTTCTACGTAATGTGAATTTGAAGATTTTTATGGCCGCGGTTTTCTTCTTATAGCAAGTTAAATAAAAAGAGTAGCCGATTTTTTTGATGTTGACAGGTTTAGCTAATTTGCAATTTCTTTTTCTCAAAAACTATGTTACGAAAAGAATTTATTTATGAACAGGTGGTAGCTTGATGTGTTCTTAACGAGAAGCATATTTTATTTAGCCATGCGGCAAGAGAGGGTTCTGTCCAATCGGAAAAGATGGTGCTGGTGTGTGTATAGACAATATAGACTGGACGTCGCGCCTTTTAAAGATACTCTTAAATAATGAATAACCTATACAGGGTGTGTCAAATGTCTGGAATATAGCCAATAGCTTCGCCATTTGTGGTTTTAAAGAAAAATGTTTCAAATACAAATTTCTTTATTAATCATGGCGCATTTTTTGGCGATATTTGCTTGTTTGTATTGTGTTTTGTTTCGTTGCTATGGCAACCAACATTGTTATTTTAAATGGGATTATATATTTTTTTGCATACTTTGATAGAGGATAAGTCCCTCTATGCGATGAACATTTCAAATCATATAGTTGTATAAGAAAAAAATCGGAAAAAAAAAGCGTTTTTTGAATAATATAATTCGTAATATTTTTGACATTTAAAACTGTCAACGGCGTTATTTCGGCGCTTACTTTGATTGTAATTTGCTGATTTAATATTTTCAGAGGACGCATTTTTTCTCGATTTTTTTCTATTATAGCCATATGATTTGATATGTTCATCGCGTAGAGGGATTTATCCTCTATTAAAATTCGCAAAAAGACGTATGCATCCCATTTAAAATAACAATGTTGGTTGCCATAGCAACGAAACAAAGAACAATGTAAGCAAGCAAGCTAATGTGTCAGCGGCATTGTTGCTTTTCCTGACAGATCTCCTTTGGAACGAAAGTTTTTGCAGAGCGATGTTGCTCAAAGCATTTCTCAAAAGACAAAGAACTAATGTTTAAAATCAAAAGAGCTATGAGTTATGTGGAGTTATGAATTTTGTTCAAAATAAGCTTTCATCTTTTAATAACCACGTTTGTTCTAAGGTGTCAGAGGCATTGTTGCGTTTTCTGGTAAATCTCCTTAGCTGCAGAGACCAATCGAAGTCGAAACAAACAAAACAGAAATAGTATGTGGAGAGTTTTAAAAGTATAACACAAGTAACGCGATCAAGATTTTTCTTTCATGTTATGATCCTTATTAAGACTCAAAGTAACAGCATTACAAAACACAAATAGAAAAATTAAACATTTGCTATTTCAAAGTGTGAAAGTAGTTGCCTACTCATACGTGACGTCACGAACGGGCCGTCGAGCTATGCACCTGTTCCCGTGATGTAGCAGTCGTAATACATTGTACTTTTTGCGACAAATTTTCGCATTAATTAAATAAATTTTTAATTAAAAAGTTAAATCTAGATATTAACGTATTTTATAAATAAATTTTTAATGAATATACAATCGAGTAATATGTCATTTTTTAAATTAAAAAAATTTAACCTAATTTTATACAAATCCCTAGAGTTCGATATTATGCGTAAACAAGAGGAGTTGTGCAAATACACGAGGCCCCTCCAGGGCAGAGCCGCTTAATCAACGATGAAAGGCAATGGTGGAGGCGGGTATCGGAAATTATAGTGCTCCGGAGGTAGAAATTTATTGCTTCAGCGACCACAAAACATCCTTGAATATACGTGATAAGATTTCCCTTCATTTTCTATTTTATATCTTTTTTTTTGTAGGGTCGCAATGGAATAGAACTCAACGAATACCATTCGTTGAGTCATTTTACGAGCACGAATCTTCGCTGGAGCAGTTCTATTTGAATCTTACCAACTTAACAAACATCGCGAACCACACCTCTAACGACACTCTTCTCGATGGCGAAGGAACTGAGCCTCTCGCCGACTTGATACTTATGATCCTCCTTTCCATACTTCTGGGTCTTATGATACTTGTCACCGTCATAGGTAAGTGGTACTCGTCAGAGGATGAGTTTAAACTTGAGAGGTCGAAGGATTTTTGAATGAATCCGAGCTCCCTATTGTTAAGCGTTGATGATACTTAACTTGGTATCTGAAAAATCTTCAATCTCGTTTTAAAAAATTCAGATATAATGATAATGTATTTAATTATAATAAAGTATTTTTAACCCTTTTTGATGTGCTAAAACGTTTCTTCGTTTCGAAAGTAAGTTTTGGTGGGTTTTTTATATTTCGGTAATCGTTAAATTTTACTGTCCCCCTTTTTACGGTTTTAAACGTAAAACGTTCGACTTCCGCGTTATTGAAAACATTGACAACAAGCGCCTTCCGCGAGAATAACTTTTATCGTTCGGATCGTAGTCGTCCGGTGGCGCCCCCTTTAAAACGGACGTTCGCTTCCGTAAATTTTTACTACGACCCTTAAAACCTCGACGAAAAGTTTCCATCAGCAATTTCCCATGAAAATTTCTTTTTGAAACGAAAGACTGGAGCGCCATTTTTATAGATTTTGTAGAAAAATAAAAATAAAATTAAATCGGGTTAGTTTTTAGATTTTTTTCGTCTTGATCATTTAAATTTTAAAAACTTCCACCAACTCTCTTTACCATTATTGTCATTCGTAGATTAAAAGGGGCTCTTTCGACGTTAATTAAACCCAACCAAAACCAAAAAGCGGAGAGTGAGCAATTGCGATTCTCTCTCGAGCATCACAAAATGCAGAAACTCGCCTCTTCTTCGACGTGGTTGCTGAAAAGGGAAAAGCGTCGAGTTCTCGTTAAGGCGGTTAATTACCTGCGAAAAGCCGCCGTGAATATTTAAAGTTTGTCTCGGGTGGAAATGATGTAGTACCGATATTAGCATATAATTGCAACGACTTCTCAGTTGGTCTCTGTTATATTAAAACGCAGAAATTAGAACTGTCATTTCTCTTTAAAGAAACTTCCTTTACTAACCGTTTCAACAGTTTTAATGGGATTTATGAATAGAGTGTTTATTTACGTTAAAGTTGCATCTTAAAATTGTATTGTGACGGAGAAAAATATCTTATATAATCCACTGAAAACCTTTTATACGATCCCCATAAAAACACAAATGTGTTTATATGGCGCTATATCATTTTATGAAAGAAAAATGGATGTGGTGTTATTGTCGGAAGCACTTTTAGCTTTTTGTAACCTAAACCTTTTAAATATAATCTCTTAGATAAATATGGTTTTCTTTTCATTATTGAAAAGTATGTTAATATTTTTTTTTTATTTTAGGTAATGTATTTGTGATAGCAGCAATACTCCTCGAGAGGAATCTACAAAACGTTGCCAATTACCTGATAGTGTCGTTGGCGGTTGCAGATTTAATGGTGGCCTGTTTAGTGATGCCTCTGGGAGCGGTTTACGTGGTAAGTTCAAATTAGAGAGCCAACCTAATCTCTGGTGGCCGGTGTCTTAACGACTCCTCGTTTTCGGTGTAATCGTAAATGTTCATTCGTTTCCGTCGAATCCGGAAGCTTAGCTACCACCCATCACTTAAAATAGTAATCTACTTACATTTTTTTTGTTAGTTCTATAGAGAATTTATATTTAACCCTCTCGTGACTGTGCTAATGGAATATGCATCAAAGACCCTGCGGAGTAACTCAGTTATTACTACGAAACGTGGGGTGTTTTGTTTTAAGTCAAAATATACAAAACAAAATATTTTATATTTTAAGAAAAACAAGTCGGTATATAATACAGGTAATAAGTTATTGTTCACAACTGGGACAATAATATTTTTTTACTTCTATGCTGTGAAGATTATATACGGTTTTTCCACATGGATATTCTCGACTTTTGGTCATGTTTTCTAGGGCAAAAGAACTAGTAGCATTTTTTGCAACACATTTACTGGTGAAAGTAGAAACTCTTCTTGTGGATTTATCATCAATAACATGTCGATGTTTTTACCGTTTAATTTTCTATGCCGTACATTAGGCGTTGCTATTTCCTATGTTAATTTTTATAGAAATTGATTATGGTAGCTTCTGTCATTACATCAATCTGTATATTTTGTTGTGAATTTCACTGAAAATGCAATATACAAAAATATATTTCCATAAACCACCTGTACCTCCTTACTTTGTCCCACATAAAATGCAACATGTCTGAATGTTTCTAGTTCCAGGTCTAATGTTAGTTCTAGTGATCATCATTATGTTGCATATTTTTATTGAACTAAAACTAGACCTAGTACTCGTATCGGGTTTAGCCATCTTGAAAGATGTACGGCATCGTCACAAAGACAGCTATCGTCTTTTGTTTTCGAACTATTAGCAAAAACTGAAAAATTTGCGAAAAAGACAAACGCAACTCTCACTTATTATCAAAGATGCAATATTATGATGGTATGTATGATAACCATATTATGATACAAACTAGTAGTGGAACGGATATCCGGCAACTATCTGGTATCTGACCGGCCATTTTTTAACATCCAGCCGGGTACCGGATACTAAAAACCTATTCGTACTTCACCATTCACAGGAATTAGTATCTGTTTTAGGTGTTGGACACTGCAGATAATAATCCAGTTCAACCCCAATAGGACTTTTTTCATTGAATACAACTTTATTTATATCAGGTTTATCTTTAGCAACCTCATTGTAACAATCTCAATACGATCCACAAAATCTCTTGTTACAGTTTCGTCTAGTTTACTTCTCTTCGCTTGTAATTCATCATCACATTCATTACTAACAGAACTGTCGCTGTTATCACTTTCGATTATTAATTAAAGTATCCTCTTTTTAGAGTTGCTTCGTTAGTTAAATCAGCATCAAAAAAAGGACATTTTGTATCTTGGATCCAAATAAGTTGACATTGTATCTAATCAGCTTTCTTATTAATTTAATTTTTATTCAAATATCGCAATAATGTGGCTATGTAGGGTATCACTTCAGAAATGTACCAGAAATTATAACCGTAATGGCCGGATAGATATGCCGGATACCCGGATATCCGGCCGAAGGGGATGCCGAATATCCGGTATCACTATCCGTTCTATCACTAATACAAACTAATGTTCTTAAGTCATTACATATCTGGGTAGTAAGCTTAGGTCGATGTTAAATTGTTAAACGTCAAAGCATATCAAAACTAAATAATACTTTACAATGAATTTCAAAATTTAAGTAAAAATTAACCTTACCAAGCATTTTTTCCGGTGTGATTGACAGATGTAAACAAAACTAACCTTAACCAATTTTTTTTTTTGCTGGATGATTGACAGGTAAAAACAAAACTGACCTATCCTAACATTCCTTCACGCTTTAATTAGGGTTTCTTCACGCTATAATTGGGATTTCAAAAGAAAACTACCTGTCTTAACATTCCTTCACGCTTTAATTAGGGTTTCAAACAGAAGCTACCTGTTTTCACATTTCTTCACGCTTTAATTAGGGTTTCTTCGCGCTATAATTAGAGTATAAAAGAAAACCGACATTCCGTCACACTTTAATTAGAGTTTCTGTGTGATTCACAGATGTAAACAAAACTAACCTTACCAATTTTTTTTTTTGCGGGATGATTGACAGGTGAAAACAAAACTGACCTATCCTAACATTCCTTCACGCTTTAATTAGGGTTTCAAACGAAAACTACCGGTCTTAATATTTCTTCACGCTTTAATTAGGGTTTCTTCACGCTATAATTGCGGTACAAGGGAAAACCGACATTCCTTCACGCTGTAATTAGGGTTCAAAAGAAAACTGGCCGACATTTATAAACAAAACTAACCTAACTCAACTTTCCTTTTCTGGAAGTCATTGCTCATTTTTTTTTAATCTTACCATATTAAAACACATTCTTTGATATTTTGCTGAATCTGCGTAGAACAAACAACAAATTTGGGACAGATTACAATGGATATTTATTTCTGGGTTATTTTACCTGCTTTATCAGTACTGTGAAACTGTCAGTAAAAGAATTTTTGGCTCATAGGATACTCATGTAAGTTGACCTGTAACACCAAAGCATTCTGGACACGATATAGCAAAAATTCATGGAGAACTTGACGTTTATTTACACGTAATGTTCCTGTAATGGTACGTTTTTGCTTAAAAAGCTCAACCCAAGAATCAAAATATGATCCAACCAAATACAAAACAACTCTTTGACCTTGATTTTGTCTCTTTTCGCCCATTTAGTATTCCATCATACATTTGGCTATCTTAAGCAGAATGGGGTGGAAAAGGTATCAAGAAATAGAATATTGGAGGAAAAGAGCAACGAGGAAGCAATAAAAACAGATCATCCTCCATCATTTTTATTAAAAAGATTTTGCATTTGGAAAAATGGGAAGAGACAACAAGAAGGATCACCACAGAAGGATGCTCAGACAGTGTATTCCGATTGTTGGAAGTCAAGACCAAGACTCCACGTGTTCATTTTCAATGAATGCGACATCGGGGAAGAGGAAAAAGATTGAAATGGATGTGTCCGTACAAATTGGACAACATGATACTTCGCTTTCAATAAACGACCTAACGAAGTTTTCGGGGAACCCCACGGTTTAACCAACTTTAAGAAAGACGAAGAGCTGTTTCAGTAGTTGCTATTTCAGAGTAACATTGGCAGAAAATTTAGAGACCACTTATGTTTCTAATTAGGTTAAAACCAGATTTGAAAATACTTAACATTTCATTTAAAATTTTCGTAATTTCTCGAAGGTGTTAAACTATTTAGCTGTTGGGGTGCTTTGTGCGCGTCACGAGACGTCGACAACGTCGCCACCGGCTCGACGTTTAGCGTTGTCGTCGTCGTAGGGTACCCGTTAAGCGCTCATAAATCACTCCGAAGTCAAATTTGCGAACGTAATCTCTGCGACCTTTTTAGCCTCCTTCCACCGTTAAACCGTAAATATCGCCACAGCCGCCGCTGCCGCCGTCGCGGAAATTCACGGCAGGAAGGCGAAAAATGGCTAAAATATGGCTCAAAAAGGTTTTCACTTTCAGAAGCTGCTTTTCGAGTTAATTTCCATCCATCTTAACCGAGACTTCCGAAGGCGAAGGGGAAAAGTTATTGGTTATTTTTAAGCAAATAAGAGGAAAAATTCTTTGTTGGAAAGAAATAAAGATAAAAATGGTATTTTTGTCTTATTTCAAGTAATAAAAATGAATGTATAAAATATTTTTTGAAAAATAAATTGATTGAAGTTTCTAAATGATCTGATTGAGTGTGTTGGAATAAAAGATTTCTATTAAAAACGTAAATAGAACCACCTAAATTCTGAGTGAAGTAGGGCCATTTAACCGGAGGGGTTGAGTTCTTTTTCCGCTTCCGTCGGCGATTCTGCGTCAGCGGCTCTTTCAATTATTTACACGGGGCGCCCCCTTTTATTTATCAGTCCGTAGCTCGGATCAAGGTCTCATGAATAAAGCAAGACCGGAAGGAATTGAATCGCGCCCGCTCTACCATCTTTTCTAACTTCTTCTACAATAAATATCTATCTCCAATGTATCGACAACAATTTTGCTTCCTTTAAAAATACACTATTAATTGACTTTATATCTAATATAAAAAAAATGGGGACTTTAAATTTATCTCGAGAAGACATTTTCCAAACCGAAAACTAACATCTGGTGCGAAGACATGCGGTGTCTTGTACAATATATCATGTGCAAATGAACGTGACACCTACAGAAGGTTCGTCTCTCTTTGTCGGCATCTGATGCAATCCACACTTGACACCATAACCTAATACAAGCAGACAAGAAAACGAGACAACGAGAAAAGTAGTTTTAACAAAAAACAAGAAATAAAATGGTTTTAAAAAAACTGTTTTTTGATACTCGATTAATAAAAGCTCTTTCAAGAGATGGATTTTGACCGACATTGGTCGGATTAAGTTCGGACATTATCCGCAAATAATTGCACTCGAACAAGTAAACCCCTAAAATGGGGTAGATAAGAGGTATCGAGGATAATCGCTTATTGCGTGATTATTACCTATCACTTTCCCTTTTCATCTCTATACCCAACCCGAAGGGTCCCTATTCGCCTATACGAACGGGTTTAACATCAGCTTAAGAGCTGTTAAACACCTCTACACCAAAACCAATTTAGATTTTCATTAAAACCCTCTAAAAATAACTACGTTTAATATTATTTTACAACAAGACAAATACTGGTTTATTCAAATAAAGAATAGGATTCAACGAAAGAAAACGGGCGTGTACGGTACGTTTAAAGAAGGCGGTCGATTTAAAAGTCCATCCGACTAATGGAATTTAGGTAAAGGCCATCCCGGAAACGTTGAATTAAAGATACGGACGAATGCGCGTTTCTACCATTTTCGGACTTAAATTTATTTATTTCTTAAAGCCCGTTAATCACATTTAACTCAAAGTCTAAGTTTCTAACGAAGTATAATCTCTACAATGTTATTTGTAACTGACACTAAAACATTTTTTAACATTATAGTGCGAATAGTGCAACAACCTATCGCTTAACAACAATTAAAAGTAGAGTTCATACACTTGATCTAACACTAGACTTAGAACTAGAATAATTCGGGTTATATATATATTACATATATATTAATAAAAACATATTGAGCAAAAACTAACATTTTCGCATAATCTACGTGTCAAAACAGATGCTAATTCAAAAATTCCTGGAAGCCGTGTTTACTGAAATTAAGAAATGAAACTTATTTTAAATTAAAGCTCAATGCTTTCTCTTTAAAATGATGTATGATAATTGTTGGGTTGGATTGGAAAAATATTGAGAAAAAAAATGTTGACATAAAACTTACATTTTCGTATAACCTAAAAATGTCAAAAAATGTCTAATTTAAAAATTCCTGGAAGCCGTATTTATTGAAATTAAGGAATGAGACTTGTTCTAAATTAAAGCTCAAAGCTTTCTCTTTAGAATGATGTATAATAATTATTGGGTTAGATTAGAAAAATATTGAGAAAAAAAATGTTGAAACAAAACTTACATTTTCATATAACCTAAAAGTGTCAAAAAAGATGCTAATTTAAACATTTCTGGAAGCCGTATTTATTGAAATTAAGGAATGAGACTTGTTCTAAATTAAAGCTCAAAGCTTTCTCTTTAGAATGATGTATAATAATTGTTGGGTCGGATTGGAAAAATATTTGGAAAAAAAAATGTTGAAATAAAACTTACATTTTCGTATAACCTACAAGTGTCAAAAAAGATGCTAATTTAAAAATTCCTGGAAGCCGTATTTATTGAAATTAAGGAAGGAGACTTTCCGAAGTTTTCACATATTTTACTCTTTGCTTCTCTCACTACTTCTTTTGCTTCGTTCCTGCTATTTATGTAGCTCTCTTTTCGTCTGAAAATTCCTTTTCAATGACCTTTGTTTTCTTTGGCTTCCTGTTTCACCTCCTCGCCACAAAATCATGTTATTTTAAGCCTTAGACTACTCTCTTTTTCTCACATAGCTCTGCGGCTACTTTTAGTATTGTATTGTAGTCCATTCTTTCCCTTGTTTTTCCTCCCAATAATTACATGTCTCGATCTCTCCTTAGCCCTGTCCTTTGTTTGTATAAAACGACTCCTTCTGTGTAGTTTCTGCATCCTATATTGGTGCATAGATTTGTATGATTTGTATGAGTTACCTTCTCCCTCAACACCATATCTAATCAAATTATTCGTGTGTTTATACTTTACCAGTCAGTTATTTGGTAAACTAGCTAATTGCTTATTAGAAAGTTTTACTTTTGTTCCCAGTGGCGCAGTAAATCAGTTTATATCCTTCGACCTTATATTTATCTCATCATTTCCTCTATCAACTCTACCTCTCTTCCACTCAACCCTCTCGAGTTCTATATTTCCACTCTTGTTCGTTGTTCTCGCTTAATAAATTTAATTCTTTTTCCTACTATATCGCTTTTGAGTTATCAAATATAAACATCACAATTATATAACAAATATCTAAAGAGAATGTTTACACCAAATTTAAAATTATTCTGAATTTACCAGTTGAGAGCCTTTCCTAGTTATATTAAACATCTTGTTAGGTATGAAGAAGATATTTGGTTAGTTTTGACGTCATAAAAGATAACGAGTGAGGGAGAAAGAGAGGATCGGTTTGAATAAATAGTGATAAATTGGGGTTGGCTGGTGAAATATTGTAGAGTGGCATGGTTTGCACAAGGATTTCAAGACCGCTCGAGCTCGATCTAATTTCCGGGGGTATTACGTCCTGATAAATTGGCTAGTGTTTATTCTATAACAGTTTTGCAAATTTATTGTTGGTTCGCTACTATAATTCTCCAGAGATGATTACAGAATCTAATGCAAATTTTGTATTATTTAACATTTCAAAATTATAACCGAAACATAAAATAAATTGCACAGCTTTTGCTACGTGACTTGTTAAATTCGCGATTTTTCCATTGTAATTTGCAAAACTGTCGTTGATCGCTAACGAGACCCAACCCTCTCATTGAAAATACCCCACCGACCCCCACAGTAGGGTTTCCGAATTCATAACCGGATCTCGTTTCAATATTCGCGAACGCGCGCAAGAGTTACCGAATTACGTTCATGAATAATAATAATAATTCTCAACCCCGTTCGTTTCCGACCACCCTCTTGAGACTTAACAAAAAAGAAACGAACCGAACGAAACTTTTCACCCCTACAGTTACGAAAAGTCAAATCACCACCTGCGGCCTCGAAATAATTCGATTTTCAGCTAAACGTCTTCTATTTGAAGTCCAACCTTCCCCAAAATTTTCTCGCTGTATTTAACGAATCTCCAACCCCCCTCGGAAAAGGGATGGGAAGGAAGAAGTTTGAGGTGAAAGAGAACTGTTTGAAAAGCTACCGCAATTGTACTCGAGAGGAAAATGGAACCAGAACTCTTAAAGAAGTATAATAATACGATTTTGGCCGCTGGTGTGTTTTCCACCCCTTGTTTTCTTTGAGAGAAATTCGAAACGAAAACTTTTTAAAAGAAAACAAAAAGGGATTTTGATCTATTTAGATAAAAAAAAATAAAATTAGTTAAGCCGTAAATTTTAATAACAACATTTACATTTAAATTACATTTAACGAGAGTTGTTTTATCTAAAACCACCGTCGATTCCCAATTACGTCTGGTTTCGATACGGTTACACGAACTGTACAATATGTAAACTCGTTAATTTCAATAATTAAAATGGAAATAATTAAATAATCAACCTAATTTAGCTTACTAATTTTACTCATACAGTGTGTTAATTAATTACCGTACCCGACGTCATCATTGCAAGTATGCAACCAATATCGCAAATCGCGTATTGCAACACCAATACTGTGATATTGGTTGCATACTTGCAATGATGACGTCGTAGCGTATAAAAAATAAAATTTCTTTAAAACAAATCCAAATACAGAGTTTAATAGAAATTAACTAAAAACGTTTATTAAACGTCCATCATCATAATCTGATTGTAATTTTATATCTGGTTGTTTATAATGATTATAAAGATGGTTTTTGTTTCATCAGAAATGAATCAAAAGGGAAATCAAAATGAATTTTCATCCAACAAAAAGCAATCATTCTTTATAGTTATGACTACAATTACTGTTAAACATTATAAAACGTCACAGTGTCACAGATTTAAGAATTCTTAAATAGAGGAGGGGGGAAGAAGGTGTGCTGCGAGAGAGGGCGGGAAATAGATTATTGGGGAAATGCATATTTAGAAAAGTTTGTGCAAGCAGAAAATAATGTTTGATGAATTGGTGAGGAGTGTGATAATGTATGGAAATATGGGGGTGAAAGGAACTCAAGATGGTGGAGAAGATCCAGGAGAGATATTGGAGGTGGGTCTTGAGGTTGAGCAGGGAGACTGCAGGATGTTTAGTAAGAGAGAAATTGAAGCTGGAGAAGAAGAGAAGGGCGATAATGTAAGAGGATGGGCTGAAGCAGAAGAGCGAGGTTAAGATTATGGGTTGGGTTGGGTTGGGTTGTTTTGGGTTGAATTGGGTTCGGTTCGTTCTCTGTGCCGTTCGTTCAATTTGTTCAATATTCCAGCCTGTGATGATTACCGCCACGTCATCGGCATAAGCAACCAGCTGTGTTTCTTCTGACTTTCTGACAGATTGCAACAGTTCGTCAAAGAAGATGTTCCACAATAGTGGTCCCAGAATAGACCTCTGTGGCACTCCCTTGGTAATTTCATATATGTTTCCTTCATACTTCACAAATCTTTTACTCAGATTATCCTTTATTAAGTTAACTAACTGTACCGATATTCCTATCCTTCCCATAGCTTCCACAATTTTACTCCATGGCGCGGATTCAAAGGCGTTACGGACGTCCAACGTGATAAACATATTACAGAGTTTTCTCTTTCCTCTTCTAAACTTGTCTATACATTTAACTTCATCCAAAACCCTCTCAATTGCCTGTACCGTAGATCTATGTCGCATGAAGCCCCATATTGGTCGTCCCAACTCAATCCTAACTCAACTCCCATCCTCTTTAAAATGTCAAAATAAGATTACAATAGTAAAAAAGTAAATAAGAATGTACAAAAATGACTTTTCAAAATTAAATGATCTTTTTAAGCATTATTAATTGATTAAAAATAATTTTAATTTCAGATAAGTAACAATTGGATTATGGGTCCAGAATTATGTGATATGTGGACTTCAATAGACGTTCTTTGTTGTACAGCTTCCATTCTCCATCTAGTTGCAATAGCAATGGATAGGTAATTAATTATTAAATTAATTTAATGTAAAGTTATCTAATTATTTCGATTTAGATATTGGGCTGTAACAAACGTAGTTTATACAAGAAACGGGACAAGAATAGGTGTGATGATAATCATGGTATGGAGTGTGGCGTTGGTGGTATCTTTAGCGCCCCAAGTGCCCCAGTTCGGTTGGAAAGATCCCGATTATTTAGTAAGGATAAATAATAATCAATGTATGGTCAGTCAAGATATAGGTTATCAAATATTCGCGACGTCATCAACTTTTTACGTCCCACTTTTAGTGATTTTTGTTTTATATTGGAAAATTTTTCAAACAGCCCGAAAACGAATACGTAAACGGCGAGAAATGAAAAATCAAAATCTCGAATCGTCTATAAACGTTTCAAATAGTACTACGAATAACAACAGCAACAGTAGCGGTGCAAAGATTACGAGAAATTTTTTAACGAAACCGAAATTTTTAAAAACAAAGCGTCGTAAAGAAAAGAAGTCGTCAAAAGCGGCTGAGGCTTTAGTTGCTTCGTTGGTAATGATGGAGGGTCAATCAACGACGACAACAATGGAAACTGTTGATGAACATGATGAGCAACATCGAATTAACGATCAAACAACGGTTGAGGAAGAGACAACAGCTTTTACAATTACGACAAACATAAATAGTAAAGAAAAATTTTCGCCGGAAAGATCGACGAATAACGGTCGAAATATTGAAAAAGAAATTCCCGTTTGTCCAGCATCTGTAGACAAATTAATACCGTCCACGAGAAAAGAAAAAAAGGAAAGTATCGAAGCGAAACGGGAAAGAAAAGCTGCGAAAACTTTGGCGATTATAACCGGAGCTTTTGTTATGTGTTGGTTACCATTTTTCGTTTTAGCGTTAGCCTCACCAATGTGCGAGGGTTGTATAAATTCTTATATAATGAGCTTTTTTTTATGGTTAGGTTATTTTAATTCAACGTTAAATCCGGTTATTTATACAATATTTAATCCAGAATTTAGGCAAGCTTTTAAAAGAATTTTATGTGGTGGCGGTAGATCTAGGTCAAGAAATTTTAGATCAGGCAAAATAAGATAAAATTAATTTTCAAAAAATATCATCTTGAATAAAAATTAGTAGTACAGTAAAACTTCGATATAACAGACAAAATATGCTTAAGTCATTACTATTAATATTACTGGTATAAAAATTGATTATCTTTCTAATTATTGATCAAATCAAAATTATTTTCAAATAAAATTTGCTTAAAATTGTGAAGGTAATAACTTTTATTAATGAATTAATTAAAGTTTTGAGCTTCTGTATGGAAGTTTTACTGTATTTAAATAAATAAAATTAAATACAAGGATATTCAAGGTGATTATAAATGATAATAAACTAATTCCATTAAAAAAAAGTGTAAATACATTTTGTAATTATTGTATTAATTCGAAATTATTTTTTTATGATATATAGTGCGCGTCAAATGTACCTCCCCATATCTAATTTGGAAATGTTTTCAAATTAGATGGTGATTAAATTTGGCGCACGCTGTATAATTAATAATTTAGTAATATTAATCCGGGTATAAATTGAAAATACCAAAATTTAAAGAGTAATACAACGCTACAAAGTCTTTCTAATACAAAAAATCGTAGATGAGGTGAATCGTATCGACATAAAAACGATAAGAACCTCATTAGTTATGTATCAAATTATATTTTCTTCTCGTAAAAACGGAGAGGGGGGTTTTAAAGAATGTAAAAATGATTAAACTATTTAATAAAGAGAAATAAAAAATAATCCGCTTCCAATCTACAAAAAACTATTGAATATTGAATCGATGTTTTAAGATTAAAATTAAAGTTTTGTACATTTTGTAAATAAAAACGAAAATAAAAATGTTGTGAAAACTTTTTTGTGTTACGATGAAAAATAAAAAAAAAACATATCCAATTGAGCGTAACACAAAAAATAATGAACCTAAACACGAAACAAATAGTTATACGTTTGAATATTAAATGAGCCTGGATATTCAACGTATAAACTATTGCGTTTTTATAATAATTCCGTAAAATAAAGCGAATCGTAAGGTGCATTACCTTTATAAAGAGATAAGATTGTAATATAGATTAATTAATTTATTTTTTTTATTAATTAATAATTAAAATTTAAAAAACAAGTATTCCAAAGATTTGTAAATAATTAAATTGTATTAATAAATAAATTAAATAGTGTAAAAAGGAAAGCAATGAAATAAAATAAACTGTGTAATTATTTTTAAGAATTAGAATAAGATAATAATCGTTGTTGCTTTTAAAATAATGATCAAAAAATAAATAAAAACATGAACTCGCGATGTGATAAATGCCCTGAAAAGGTTTTTTCTTTAAACAATAATTTTTGCGAAGGGCGTGTTATAATATATCAAAAAGAAATGAAAACCAAAAAGTTAATAATAAAAAAAAGTGTATTTATATGTAAAAAATAATTAATTAAATAAACAAATAGGTTAAGTGTACATAAAATTATAAATTAAATAAATTTTTGCTCGTTATCTCCATAAAATTTAACCAAAAAAGAATGTATGCCCAAGATAAAAATAAAAGTACCTCTTATAACTTAAAAATAAGTTTTATGAAAAATTAAAAATAAATTTATAAATATCTCGATTATTGTGTAAAAAACATTATATTTAAGACGATTTAACCCATTAACGCATAAAATTTCATTAATTAAATAAAAAATTGATCAAAAATTTTAATGCGTTAAGTGGGGAAATGAAAAAAGAATCTTACTCGTTAAATCTACTAAGTACTAAGGAAATAAAAAATTGTACACTTACTACTACTGTTCATCATCGGGTAATTAAATAATAAGTGACTTAAATAAATTATTATGTAACGAAAACGTGTATTATGAAACATCAATATATCGTGATTATTAATATCAGGAAAAATACCCACGATGTGACTTTCTTGGTAAAACCTCAACGTGTGTGTTTGTTATAGTCCCCGCATTTCTTATTCCTAATTGTGTATTTCATTGTTATTGCGGTTGTATGTGGTATTTAAACACATTACAATCAGCAATGAAAAAATTGTTTACATTCTTTAGTGTTTTTTTTATAGTAGTCAGTAAATTGACATCACAGAATCACATTAAGTAAAAGAAAATTTGCCATGAGAACATTATTAAAATAGAATTATTAGAAGATGTTTTAAAAGGTCAACAAAAACTCCAAAAATTGGAAACAATGCTTTTTCAATTTGGCTCAAAAAGTTATCCAAAAAGTGTACAATTCTTCAGCGTTATAATAGGTAAGCATTAATATATATTTTATTTGATAATTATGGTAACACATAGTGTTTAAAAGTATTCAGTGAATTCACTTTAAATGCCATTTTTGTGCTTTTAATAATAAGTTGGGGCTTTACTGATGTCTATAAAAATTTCCTCTTATCTTATATAATTATTATCCCTTTAACCAGCCTCTCCCTGTCACCCTACGTCTCCTCGCTGCCACCACCTCCCCCATCAACCTCCTTCCTCTCCCCTAGCACCTGTGTCCATCTCCTCTTCCCTCAACTCACTACACTCCACCAGCAAATGGTGTAAAGACTCCCCACATAGTCTGCACTGGATTTAACTGCTTAGACTTGCTTCCGGAGTCTCTTGTGCATGAGACTTATGTGTCTTTAATGGTACTATTTCCTCTAAGGACGAAACGGTGGGATTGGTTTCAGATTCACTGAAGTCAGAAAATGAGTCTTTTTAGCTTGAAGTAGTAAACGCTGAAAACTGAGCCTCATTTGTGGAGGGATTAACCGATATATCCCAGTAATGTATATAATTTATTATTAAAGTTCTCACCCTATTGAAAACTTCTCCTAAATCACTTGTCCTTAAGTTGCTAATTTTGTACTAATCATAGAATAACAAACTTTTTTCATCCCAAAAGGTTTCAAAAAGTTATATAGCAATATAACGTGATGTTTATATACATTAAAAATGTTTAAATCCTTGCTAGAACATCTCTCCTTGCTAGAACAGCTTGTTGATGATAAACTACAATAACATGTTTCTAAATAATACTTTATTTTCAGCATGTTTTGGCGGGATAGCACTTGGAATGCATTATGGTTGGACATCACCCGTAACTCCAATATTAAAAAACCTTTACACAGATCTCTCCGATTATCAAATAACAATAATCGAAACACTCTACATGATCGGTGGATTATTAGCACTTCCTCTAACTATATTCATTTGTGATCGACTTGGAAGAAAGAAAGCAATTTTAATCTCAGCTATATTTAATTTAACATCATGGATAATGATCGCGTTGTCAAAATCATTAACAACGATTTATATCGCAAGATTTCTTTGTGGAATTGCCGGTGATATTGGATTTGTAGCTGGGCCGATGTATATAGCAGAAATATCATCGAAATCAATTCGAGGATTATTAACGGGATGTTTTTTTATCGCTTGGTTGACAGGAATTGTTATAATTTATTCGGTAGCTCCTTTTGTTAATTTAACAACTTCTTCGAGTGTTGGCGCTGGAATTGTTTTAATACAATTAACGACATTAATTTTTTTGCCGGAATCGCCTTATTATCTTTTATTGAAGAAAAATGAAAAGAAATCGAAACAATCTTTAATGTTTTTTCGAAACACACATAATATTGAATTGGAATTAAATGAAATAAGTGAAGCTGTTGAACGCCAAGAGAAAGAAAAAGGACGTTTAATTGATTTATTTAAAGACAAGGGAAATCGGAAAGCTTTATTTATTATGACAATTTTGAATGCTTCGCAACATATGGCGTCAATTAGTGTTATGTTGATGAATTTACACACAATTTTAAAAGACGCCGAAGGAATTATTCCACCTGAATCTTCAGCAATAACATTTTCGGTTGTTATGTTACTTTCAGCAACTATCACAATCTCAACGGTAGATAAATTTGGACGTAAAAATTTAATGATTTACTCCAGCACCTTGACATGCATTTCATTATTAATTTTAGCCACTTACTTTGCTTATAAAGAACATGATGGTGATATAACAAACATTAAATGGATTCCTGTTGTTGCGGTTATTCTTTTCGCGATCGTTTTTAAAGGTGGAATGGGCATGGTACCGATTGTGATGAGTGGTGAAGTATTTCCAACGAGTGTTAAATCGATGGGAATGACGATTGCTGATGCAATTTATGTGATTTTTGGCGCGGTTTCCATTTATATTTATCAGGGATTAGTGATAGTTGTCGGAATTTACTGTCCGTTTTATTTATTTGCGTTGTGCTCTTTTGGAACATTGTTGTTTTCGATCTTTTGTATTCCAGAGACGAGAGGAAAAACGTTGGAGGAGATTCAAATGATTTTAAAAGGTGTAAAAAATGAACCGTGTCAAAACGGTGAGGTTAAGAAAGAGGTTATTCGAATAAAATCGTTTGAGAATTTATAATAAAATCTGTATTTTATTTTAATTTTTAAGTTAGTGATTTTAAAATTATTTTTTACTTTAAAATTCAAAATAAAATTTCTTATTATAATTCTTTTTTGCAACTTTTTTGACACACGTGATTGTTAGGTTGCCTATATTTATAACTTAATTAAATTTATTTTTAAGATTATGAAATCATTTCTTTTTAGAACTGAATACTGGTTCTGAACCAGATAGTAACTCGTTTTTGATTAAATGAAAAAATGTAAGGTGTTTTGGGATACTCAGCTTTACCTGATACGCAATATTAATCGCTAATATTAATAAATTTATCGATGTTGTTGGTGAGATATATGTTTTAAAGATTATCTCAAACCTAATAACAATGTTTTACTTGTATACAACAGTTATGGGTAGGGGAACAATTTACATATGTATGTAGTATAGTTGTGAGTGGTTGTAAGGTAGCTCATGGTGGGACTTGTCCTATCGCTACCTTCATGTATAAAGAAATAAAATAAATACATTCCAGAATGTATACTTTATCTCAATTATTTTATACGACAAACTCGCAAAGAATGTCTTTTTAAACAGTTTTTCGTTTAATTATTTTTTTAACTAGAAGAAACCATTATTTGACGTTTGACAACTGTCAACTTATTCAAGCTAATTTCACAGTTACTAATATAATTTTAAATTTTCCTCCATAGATGCAGTTGCAAGTGTAAAAACATTAAAAAAAACATAAAAAACATCAAACCAGTTATTTCATCTATTTCAACATGTTTGACATTATATTAATACAATATACATACCACAACAAGAAAACTTATTAAAAGCTGTTGACAATTTGTGTAAACAATACTCGATAATAAATGTTGTAAACATGTTCATCCTTGGTTACATCAAATTAATTTAGATTTGGATTAAATCTTATCGGCTAATTTAACTTACCCATTGAATTGGACGAAATGAGCAAGCATCCAGAATAAGAATTTGAAATCATCCAAATTAACCAGTATCCAAATCTAAAGATATCCAAACTAAGCAATTTTGCTACTTCATTGTTTTGATCAGAATTCTTCACAATAGACCACAAATTAATTAAAACATTTAAAAAAAAACGTGTGTTCCTCTTAAATTTAGTTTTAACAACAATGTTTTGATTCATTGTCAAAATGCTTCTGTTGTTTTAAATTTTGAACGTCAGCGACATCTAACAAGATTTTCTAGTAGTAACTTGTAGTATTGTGGAAAATGTTTAATCGTTTGATTTGAAATCACTAGATGGCGCGACTAATTTATTTAAATAATATGAAAGATTTTAGAATTAGTGGCAAAACTAAAGAAAAAATATATATAATATTATGAGAATATATAAGAGTTTAATAAGACCAGTACGGATGCATGGACACTACTAAAAAAAGACGGAGAAGATCTAAAAAAGTTCGAAAGGAAAACATTGGGAAGGTATTTAGTCCAGTACAAGAACAAGAAGAACTCGAATGATGTTTGAACTCAATTCCCTGGCTGGTGATGCTGACACATAAGAAGAGTGGAAGACGATAGACATCCAAAAATTCTTACAGGATGGAAACCACCAGAGAAAAGACCTAGAGGAAGACTACGTGTTAGTGCAAAACTAAAATTAACACTAGACCTAGAAACATTCGAGTTTAGTCGTCTTAAGAGACGTGTGGAACGTAAGAGACAAAGAGTTATTTCATTTTATTGAATAATTATTTTTATTTTTACATAAAAAACGTAAATACATACAAAAAAATTATCTAAAACTTGTAAAATTTGCAGGTACATTACTAAAAAAAAAATTCTTAAAAGTTTATCAGAGATTAAATATCATTTTCTACGGTGATTATCTACATACAATATGCTAATAAGTATTAAAAATTATTAAATATCATTAGAATTAGATTTGGAGTGTAAATTTAATAATAATACTAATAAAAAAGGAAAAAAATTCTAACAATATAAATGAGATCACTATTTTTGACTAGGAAATGATAATTTTTTTTATTTCATATTTTATAATTTTTACATTCTACTCAAGAAGATTTATTTTTAAAATTGTGTATTTATTATTATAGTATAAAATTTGTTTTAAGCTTTATTGGCATTTTCTAAGACCATCGAGCACAATTGCAAACAAAATTTGGTTGAAAATTGTTTTAAAAATCCGGCCGATTTAAATTTATCCTTACATTCTTCCCCAAGATTATTATTAAAATTTTTACAAAACAATAAAATCGCTAACGGATAAAAATATTTATCGACGTTTTTCAATAAAACTTTCTCCAAAATTGGAACCGGTAAATTCGAAGATAACCAAAATTCAATACATTTCAATAAAATGTTTTGCATTAAAATGTGATTCTCGGAAACGTAAGTTTTTTTAATGTAGAATTCGATTAACTCGGATGCCATCAAAATTATATTTTTAGTCGATTTATCTTTAACTTCAAACTCCTCCGATTTTAATTTTACACTTTTATGAAAATCATTCCCCGAAATTAAATTTGAAACGCTCGTTATCGGTGGTGATTCATTTTTTAACGATTGAACATATTGCGAAACGGAATTTCGAATTTCAAATTCACCCAAATCACATGGACTTTCACATCCACCTTGATGCTCCAAATCATCCCATTGTCGAATACTATCCAATGATGAACTAGTACTTAACATATTTTGTTGAATATGACCGGGCGAATTCATTAAATTCAATTCAAATTTTGATTTATTCGAATCTAAATGATTAATTTTTTTATCTTCATTAAACTCTTCTTTTTTCTCAAAATTTTCTTGTTCCTTTTTTATAATCGTTAAATCTAAAGGATTCTTTTCCATAAACTTTTTAAACGCGTTTAATTGGAAACCTAAACTATCACTAAATCTTCCATCTAAAAATGCTATTTTACTCGCAGCTTGATAACTTTCAAACGATAAACATTTTGATAAAACAGCTTCTGAGTCATAATAACCATAATAATTCTCTAAAATATAATGCAAAGTTTTCGAACCCAACTTAAAATTTGGTGTATATTTTAAATAATCAAAATTTAATGAATTTCTAAACTTATTTTTTAAACAAAAATCTTTTTCGGGGTAAAAATCATTATTTTCAATATTAAAGATACGATAAAAAGGTAATTTTTGATTTAATAATAAATTATGATCCGTTGGATTATAAGTAATCGCCATTGTTGGTAAATTTGGTACTTCTATTGGATATGCTTCCGTATTTTGTTGTTGATTTTGAGGTACTTTAAGTATACGCTTTGTGTTTCGAAGAAGCAACATTTTTCCATCTTGAAAATCTTCGTAAGCTCGACCCAGTAAAGTCTAAAAACGAAGAAAAAGAATTATAGTATATAGGACTACTATTGAAATTGATTATATAAATTTAAATAAAGTTTAAACGTCAATGTGACACAAATTCAATGTTACCAACTGTAACCAACTTCACAGCAATTTGTCAAAATTAAATGTCAATTTTATGAAACGTCATATTTTTTTACGAAAATTAATTAATTTATGCTTAAATCATACGAAAATAGTTATTTTTGATACAAGACAGCGAAATGACGTCGAAATGCAAAAGAATTTCGCTGTCGTGTATCAAACAAAATTTTTTCGAAAACTGCGTGTTCTAAATTTTATAAATTAATAAAACGACCAAATTCAGTATAATGACATTTCGAATTCATGAAATGTTATGTCAATATTGAAATAAATTAATTTTACCTGAGCCATTGTGTTGTTACCCCACGCTAAAACTTTTCCGTTAGTATCCAACGCCATTACGTAATCTAAACCGCAAGAAACATGCAAAAATCGTTGCCCTAAAGTTGCCGTTAAAGCACTATCTTCATCTCGCAATTTCGGAGAGGACATTTCACCTTCTTTAACTTTATTCCAAACTAATTTTCCATTATGTAAAATAACCGAATGTCGAAATCCGGTTGCAACTTGCTCTATTGGTTTATTAATTGAACTTGTGTAAACGTTGCAACTTCCTCTCCATGGCTCATAAGGCTTTCCATTTGTACCAAACTTTTTTTGGCTGTATTTGGTCATTGATATTCGGACTTCTTGAGGATTCGCACCCCATGTATAAACAACTTGATTTGAATGTACGCAAATCTTAAATAAAGAAATAAATTAATAATAATATTAATTGTTTAATTTAATTTAACCATTTTAAAATTTACTCACGTTATGAAAATACGATGTAGCTATTCTTTCAACTGGAACATACATATCTGGCATAACAACAATCCAAACAGGTTTATTTGATTTATTAATAGCCCCCTCAACATTATTACATTCCAATTGACCAAAAACGTTTGAACCAAACCCAAAAATCTTTCCAGTTTCGGTTAAAATTAAACTATGAGCATGACCACCAGTTATTTGCACCACAATCTCATCAAATTCAAGTAACTTGGGATAATATTCATTATTACAAGACCCATGTCCTAATTGTCCGTGAATACCCCAACCCCAACTGTAAACTTTTCCCGTCGATGTTAACGCTAATGTGTGATATTGTCCCGATGCTATATCAATGATACAAATTCCAGTTAAAGCGGTTATTACTTGAGGATAAGGAGTGTCTCTTACAAAGGGACCTAAACCGAGTTGCCCATGAGAATTAGAACCCCAAGCGTAAATCTGAAATTAAAAAAATTTAATATATGTTAGCACAAATTAAATATGTTATTATTTACCCCAAAATCAGTTAAAGCAACTGTATGTTTTCTTCCACAACTAACACTTAAAACTCTAATCCTCAAATCGGCTAACATTTGAACTAGCCTAGGTGGGCTACTTTGACTTAAAATTGGTCCTAAACCTAAACATCCAGATGTTGTCACCCCCATTGTGAAAACACAATTATTTCTGACGACAGCAGCGTGTTCATAACCACACGATAACGGTTTAAAATCGGGCAATTTTTTAATAATACTTTCCGAATTTTCCCCAATATTCTCTTCATCGATGTTATCTAATAAATCGATGTCGTATTCATTATTATCAGTTTTAGCCACCAACCCGATAACAACAAAAATAAACGTTTCAATGAATTCTCGAACAATAACAGCAGCTTGCGGCGAAGTTTCCAAATCTAACGAATCCACCGTTGATTCTAAACTGGATAAAGTTCTTGAGGATTTATTAAATAATTTCGAGACTAAAGAGAGTGCACCCGGTTGGCTAGGATCCAATTGCATTGAAAATCTTTGTAAAATATTTATAGGAAACGTTTGAAGGTTGGTTTTAATAAATTTGAAGATCACGTGACTTCCTGGCCCGTTCGTTAAGAGACTTTGTGTTAAACACGGCTCGGAAAGTGCTAATAAGAATTCATAATCTTCGTTTAATTGGAGTTTTGAAGATTGAATCGTTAGGCTTAGAGCGTCCACTACTTCAGGTTGAAGACCACGGGATTTTGCCAATAATGCTACGATACTCCAATGAGCTGCTCGACAAGCTACATTTACTGCCAAGATTTGATCGTAATATTCTTCGTAATATAAAAAATTCCTAAAAATAAGTTAACAAAAGAAAATTTTTGATTAAATTAATTAATATTATATACAGGGGGTGACTGATACATAAACGTATTTATTGAAATGCATTATTATAGAGCTCATTTGTAATTGATTAAGCCAAATATGTCTTATACAAAGTAAATTTTTTGGTTTTTGTACATTTTCTGTCCTACAAATATTGGAATTTAGAGTTTAATAATAGTTTCTTTGACTTCTCTGCATAGACTACACTTTAATACACATTTTAAGTTGAAAAATATTTTTGTCCATGACTACCTTATAAAATATATACCTCATAAATGAGTTTTCTAAAACAAAAGGGTAGTCATTTTTGATAGAAGTCAATATGATGTCAAAGCAACCTCTAAATTCCAATGCTGAAAAATGCAAAAACCAAAAAATTGAAATAATTCCTAAACTATTCAACTATATAAGGCATATTTAGCTCTATAATAATACATGTTAATAAATACGTTTATGTGCCAGTCACCCTATATAATACTAACATAAATTCTTTATTATTTGCCACTCTCATATGACCTCCATGTCTTAAAACCAATTCTGTGTAAGCCATAACGGCTAAATTTCCAATATGGATTTTTGTAGCCATCGACATATCAATTTTGCTAGCACTCAAACATAAATTAACAAACTTTAATAAAGCTGTACAATCCGAAGTTACAGCAACTTTTAAAACACGCTTCAAAAGATGTACTTTAGCTTGTTTGTAAAGAATTAAACCTTGATGGAAAGCACCATTTGATATAAGAAGATCTCCACAACATTCCAAAAGATGTTGCATATTTAAACTGAAAATAACCGCTAAATATTCAGCTAAATCAACGTTCCATTCTTCGTTAATTAGTTTAATAAATTTATACGAAGGTTGACAACTAAAAAAAAAATTAATCAACTTAATAAATAAATAATTAATTAGTACTTACTTTAATATTAATTTATAAACAGAATTTGTTGTAACTATAACACAAGTATCAATTTTAGTTTTTCGTAGATTTAAATCATCCAACGTTTTTGGTAAGGAATAAGTTTTATTATCTTTTTTCTCATCTTTTCTGGAACCTTTTATGATTGTTACATCCGTTAACTTGTACATATCGAGGATTTTCTCATCATTTTGTACTTTGAATTGTGCCAATAAAGCATGTTGATTAAAGAGCTTAAAAACAATTTTTAACTTAAAAAAAACTTAAAAAAAAAACCTTACCGATTCTCCTTCTAAATTACACTCCGACAATTGAAAACTAACCACAGATATGGTCGTTAAATCATCGTGAACTGTAAAAATTAACCGATCCGTTAAAAGTAATTGTTTAGTTTGCAGAGGTAGACGATGAATGTACAAAGGTGCTGATTCTATATCCGAAGCATGTACCTAAAATTATTATTAATAAATCAAATTTATTAAAAAATTCTATACAGGATGTTTAGAAATTGGCGGATAATGTATCTATTAGTATTAAAATGTTGTTCTACTATGTTGCCAAATGTGTTTTTCATGAAGATATGATAATGAAAAAATGTTAAAAACGAACTTTAAAGGTAAAGTTATTAAGTGCTATGAAAATACGTTAGGGGAAAATCCTAAAAGGATATTAATTGAAAATTCAAGGACACAATTAAACGCAACAGCTCATTGTAAACCACAAATAAAGGTCGTTACAGTACAGAACGATTCTATTAGCAAAACTGAAGATCAAATAGACTCGCAAACAGTTTCACAGAATCCAAAAGGATGTAACGACTACGAAAAAGAACCCGAAAGTTGGTTAATTGAACTAGAATCTAACCAAAGCAATGATTTAGAAGCATTACAGCTCAATAATAAGGTAACATTTAGACGTAATATAAGAAAATGGACAGTTCAACATCGTATACCTCACTCAGCACTAAGAGACCTCCTTCAAATGATAAATGAAAAATTTCCAATTGTACTTCTTCAAGATCCCAGAACTTTGGTAAAAACTGTTACGATGATAAAAGTAGGGAATGTGCATTATTGGCATAATGTTGCGATAAAAGTTGCGAAAAAAGTTGCGAAAAAAGTTAAAATACAAATGTTTTAGTGTTTCTTAAAATCTATTACAATAAAGACAAATTAAGTATACAGAGTCAGTCAAAAAGTTACGAAGAAACAAAATTACGTTTTGTTTAATGGAACAGCCTGTATATTACTCCATATTTCAGTTCATCTCGAAATTTTAAACAAAATTCATGTAACGCATCATAGACCTTAACTTAACAGTTTTCCAGATATCGAGCTTTTAAAAATTTACGAATTTATCTAATTAGTGACGTAATTTATCTTTGGGCGCAAATTATTTAAACAATTTTTGTATTTTTGACATGTGTTATGTCACTACGTTGCTATGGAGATGAGAAGATTGATGAATTATGAACACAATTGACAAATATCTTTTTGTGTAATTTATAAGAGTGATTTTCAAAATGAAAAATCTCGAAAACGGTTAAGTTTACAATTTCTATATGAATTTTGTTTAAAATTTGGAGATGAACCGAAATATTGAATAATATACAGAATGTTCCAATAAAGAAAATACAACTTGGTTTCGTCACATCTTTTTGACTGACCCTGTATACTTAATTGTCTATAATTGTCTTTATTGTAATAGATTTAAAAAAACACTCAAACTTTTGTATTGTACTTTAGGACATAACCGACCGTTTCCATACATATCAGCGACCCTGTATAACTATTTTATAGTAGATCAAGACACAACTATAAAATAATTGAAGAAGACTAATATATTATATAAATTGTGCCTATTTTGGTGCTATAGTTGCTTTATAAACATTTTTATTACGTTGCTGAGACTGAATATGTTATATAAAATTATCATGAAAACATTTTTACAGCTTTAATAAAATAAGAAATTGCTAGTTGGGGTAAATATATGATTATTTATGGACATATTATGCGAACTTTGGGAACCTCATGTTTCGTTGTTTTTTTACGACATTTTAAAATTAAGATTTTCGCTTTAGAATTAAACGAAGATGTGTACATTATCCGCCAATTTCTAAACACCCTGTATATTTTGGTTTTATTACCGTTAAAAGTGCTGTGGGTTTATAAAAGGCCGAAAACAAATATCGATTTTTAGCATATTGCGAGGCGAAATACGTATCACAAAGTCTCGGTAATAATTCTGGTACTGAAGCTGTTGATGAATGCTCCGAATGTGATGACTCACTTGTTGTATCACTAGCTTGGCTGTCTCTTCGGGGTCCTCGGCCTCCATCGACTATACGTTGTTTAAAAGAGAAAAATTTATCAACCCCCAATTGGCGTAAATTGTATAACCGGGATCGCGTTGAATCTTCATTTAAATTATAAGCTTCAGGTGGCCATAAATAACCGACGGAAGGCTGCTCCAAAAGTAACCGATATTGCTGCCCACTGTTAGCGTTAATCTAAAAATTAATAAAAACATTAATTTAAATAAAAAAAAAAATTTTTTTAATCATACTAATAAAGCTACAGTATCTTGGCTATTATCTTGGCAAATAATTAATTGAATAACCGGTTCGCTTATAGTACAATATCCTAAACATCGCCCATCCGTTAAACTTATTAATCCAATTGAACCGTTTTCATAACCTATTAAAGCGTTTTGGTTACATTCTAAAGTTTGCCACCAAATGGCGCAAAGGGGTTTTGAATCGGGTGCTAAAGGATGTTTTGGAAAATGTGTTAAATCAGTTACCGACCATTTACAATCAATTTTTTGTTTCTTATCTACCAAACTTAAAGCTGGAATTATGTACAAGGAATTATCCGAACCTAAAATCAATTAATTTATTACATTAATTAATCACTTTATTAATTAAACCCTCTTACATGTTACTAACAACCATGTCGCCGATGGATCAAAACAAATTGCTTGAATCGTTTTATTACTTTCGCTAAACCATGGTATTCGTTTAACTATCGCTGGTAATTCACCATAAGTATAATGAACGATTATATCCCCTTCATTAGTGATTATAGCTAATAATTGTTTAATACCACTTTCAATTCTACAGTTTAGTCGAATATCGATATCTTTTAAAATTGCTTTCAAGTCAAAGATGTCTTGGAGTAACTGCGACATTTTCTACCTTTTATTAACTTCCATACATATTAATTTATTAATTCAATCGCCGTCTTCCTATATGAATACTTCATCGCCTAATATTAATTAACTTTTCTTTTAAAAATTACAAAAAATAATCAAGTTTATAAGCACCCGCACTCAGCTGACAGTTGACAATTTTGGGTGGTTGACATTTCATAATCAGCTGATTTCATTCAATAAATTAGAAAGATTTATTTTTAAATTTAAATAATATTTTTAAATTAATTCGTTATGAGATTATTATTATTTGTAAGTTTTATTATAAATAAAGGAGATAACAAAAAATTAAAATTATCTTTAATACCAATCATAATTAATTTAAACAGCAAGAGATGGCGCTTATCGTTTTGATAATTGAAAATTGAAAGAAATTATGAGAAATTAAATAATTTTAACTTTAATTACCGTATATCACGCGTTTTATGCCACAAAAATCTATTTATAATTTGCATCGATTCATAAAAAACTAATTATTTTAATTATTTAACATTTGTAAATTTTATTTGCGTCATTTTCCACTTAATTTTTTTTGATGAGTTATGGGTTAATGATATTCTTTCTAATCGTTTGAACAAAGTACGACACTTATTCATTAACATGTCATTATATAAATAGGATAATAAATGCAATTATAAACCAGGTATAACTACTAATGTAAATTGACTTTTTTAATAACTTTTTATGCTTCAAGATGGTTTTTTGCTTCTTCGCATGTATTTTAATTTTGATATTAAGTTTAATAAAATTATACGTAGAATTAACAAAAGGAAGAGTAAGAAGTTCAACTTGTTTAATTGGAAAAACCGTTCTGATAACCGGAGGAAATTCAGGTTTGATTTTTTAACCTCACTTTTAAGAAATGTCAAATTGACGTTTAATAATCGGTTCTTTTTAGGGTTAGGTTATCAAACTGCGTTAGCTTTAGCCGGTCGAGGAGCAAAAGTAATAATAGCTGACTGTAATGATTCAACGGAATCGCGACGTAAAATAATCGAAAAAACCGGAAATCCAAATGTAATATCAAAAAAATTTGATCTTCTTTCATTGGAATCGATTCGTTCGTTTGCAAAAGAAATAAACGCCGAAGAAAGTCGTTTAGATATTTTGATAAATAACGCAGGAACCGCGCAAACTTTGGGTTTTTCAAAAGATGGATTGGCGGGCCATATGCAAGTTAATAATTTTGGTGGTTTTCTTTTAACCCATTTGTTAATAGATTTATTAAAAAAGTCGGCACCGAGCCGAATTATTTTTATCAGCTCCGCTTTAGCATTTTTCAACAATTTAACCATAAAAAATCTAAATGAAACCATTTCAAATGATTATTTTTCATATGGAAACACGAAACTTTGTAATATTATTATTTCGAATGGATTCGCACAAAAACTTTTAGGAAGTGGAGTTACATCGAATGCTGTTCATCCTGGTGCAGTGAAAACACCCATTTTCGATGTGTTCTTAACCCAATTTAATTTCTTTTTCGGTTGGATTTGGACATTAATAATGAGATTTGTTGGAAAAGTAATTAATAATGGAATAATAAGATTAATGTATTGAAATTTATTATTTTTAGGATGCATTTGAAGGTGCACAATGTCAAATACACTGTGCTTTATCAAAACGTTTAGAAAACGTTACTGGAAAATATTTTATCGATTGCAGAGAATTTTTTCAACCTTTTGGAATCGGAAATAAAGCTTTTTGCAATGAGATTTGGAATAAATGCGAAGAATTGGTTAAATTAAAACCAGAAGAAAAACTTTAGACAGTTAGGCAACCAATCACTCTTTTTAATTGCTAAAATAATTACTTGGTAATTATTCGTGTACAACTTGTTACAATGTTACAACTTTTAACTTTTTAATGGATTGTTGTTATTTCCTGATCCCCACACGTTTAACTTTCACTTTCGTTTCTAACAAAGTGGAAGCAAGGTACTTGGCAAGATAATATTTCGAAACTTCGATCTGTACGCTCGATTAAACAATGATAAATTTGAATATATTTTGTATTGTTTTATATTTTATTGTATTTTTTGTCGTTTTATTTAAATTATTCCTAGAATTAACAAAAGGATGTATGAAAAGTAATTGTTTAATGTTGGGGAAAACTGTTTTAATAACTGGTGGAAATTCCGGTAAGTATTTATTAACCACTAAACAAATTAACGATATTTATGAAATCTATCAACAATAACATTTTAATAAATAATGCTTAAAAAAGGCTAAAACAAATATTTTTTTAGGTTTAGGATATCAAACTGCATTAATTTTAGCTGGAAGAGGTGCGAAAATAATTATAGCAGACAAAAATGATTCAACACAATCTAAAAATAGAATAATCCAAGAAACAAAAAATCCAAACGTAAAATCAAAAATGCTTGATTTAAGTTCGTTTGAGTCCATCCGAATATTCGCTAAAGAAATTATCGAGGAAGAAGACACCTTAGATGTTCTTATTAATAACGCTGGATTAGGTTATTCAGGATTAAAAACCATTGATAATTTGCCAGAACTCATGCAAGTGAATCATTTGGGTTCCTTTTTATTGACACATCTTTTATTGGATCTTTTAAAGAAATCAGCTCCTAGTAGAATTATTTTTGTATCCTCTCTAATGGCTTTTATAAACAATCTAACCATTAAAAATATCGATAAAGTGTTATCTCCACTTTCTCTCTCATATGGAAATTCAAAACTTTGCAATATAATCACAGCAAATGTTTTTGCTGAAAAATTAAAAGGAACCGGTGTTACATCGAATTCAGTTCATCCAGGATTAGTTAATACCCCAATTTTTAGAAATGCTCATCAAGATCTACCCAAATCCAGCTTAGATGCTTTTTATGTTTTTCTTAAATTATTTGGGAAAGTAAAATCTTCAAGATATTCATTTTATTTAATTTAGTAAGTAAAATATTTTCTTTTTAGAGTGTTTTTGAAGGTGCACAAACTAATATTCATTGCGCTATATCCAAAAGCTTAGAAAAAGTGTCTGGAAAGTTTTTTGTTGATTGCACACCGTTTTTTTTACCGTTTAAAGCAAAAAATAAACTATTTGTTCAAGAGATTTGGAGAAAAAGTGAGGAATTGGTGGGCTTAAAAGATGAGGAGAAGTTATAAATTTAATTAAATAAAATTTTTTTACCTAACCTAACATTTTTTTAAAATAATTACACCAATGTGTCATTAATGACATATTAGTACAGAAATCTGTAATTTTATGACAACATAACCTATAAGATTAAATAAATAACTAATAAATCAATAAGTTCATAAAATTATCAAAATAAACGTGATAAATGGAAGAAAAGAAGTCAAATTCTTTAGATATAGATGGCCAAAATTTCAATCCTAATTTATACCTCGAAAAATTATTTAAAGTAAGTTATTAAAAAAAACCTAACCTAAAAAAAATTATTAATTTTAAAGGAATGTTCCCTTCGGCAAGTAATGGATCACGAAGCAGAAGTAGTAAAAGACACCCAAACTTTACATTCAGATATGCAAACTTTAGTCTATGAAAACTACAATAAATTTATATCAGCAACAGATACAATAAAAAAAATGAAAACGGATTTTAAAAAAATGGAAACTGAAATGGATCTTTTAGCTTCAAATATGGATTCGATAACATCGTTTTCTGATCAAATTTCGACCACACTACAAGGAACTAGACAGCAAATAAGTAAATTATCCGGTGTTCATACCCTTTTAAAGCGATTACAATTTCTTTTCAAACTTCCTTCAACTCTAAAAAATCGTGTTGAAGAAAAAAATTATGCACAAGCTGTTCAAGATTACTTACATGCACAAAGAGTGTTAACACAGTATGGAAATATGGCTTCATTTAAAGGAATACAAAGTGATTGCGAAGTGATTTTAAAGGAATTAAAAATTAAATTGAGAGGAAAATTTTCCAATGCAGATGCAACGGCTAAAGAATTGGCCGAATCTGTTGATTTATTATTACAACTTGATGAACCAGCTAGAGAATTGTGTATGGAATTTTTGTGTTGCGCTGAAAAACGTCTCGGCGAACAATTAGTTTTATTAAGGGACCAATCTGAACAAAGAGATATTACAGAATTTGTTGATTTGGGTTGTACAGGTTTTTTAAGTGATTTATGTTTGGTTGTTGCATCATTTCATGATATGTTTATTAATCGAATGAATGAAAATGATGATGATGTCGAAAATAGGTAACAAAAAAATTAACCAAAAAAAGTTTTGAAAAAATTCAAAAATCATTATGTGGCTTAAAAATCGTCGATTTTTGTTTTAATCAATGTGAAATGACCCAAAAAACACGTTAAAAATAAAAAGAAAGTGCAGAAAAGTACATACTGAAAAATCACATTAAAGTTTTGATGTGACGTCATATTTTGTGACGTCACAAGCAATGTTAATCATGCAGTTTCCTATTAAACCGGTCAATACCTAACCTAAACATTATTTATTTTATAGCAACGCACGAAATCAATCTGATAAACTTAAAAGTAAAGTTATTTTCACTAAACTAGATGATTACAACGTACAGTGTGTTAATTAATTATTGTATTGTGTGAATATATCTGAATACGCAAATCGCGTATTGTAATACCAGTACTGTGATATTGGTTGCATACTTGCAATAATGACGTCGGGTACGATAATTAATTAACACACTGTATATTTTCGAATGAAACACCCTTGTTTTTCTTAAGGTTTCGACGCATAGTGATTGACAACCTGTCGTTAGATAGACTGTGTTAATACTAGAACACTAGATTGAAAAATAGAAACATTCGGATTTAATCGCTCTCAACGCGTCTCTCAAAACGACTAAACCCGAATGATTCTAATTCTAGGCAGGGTTGATGAACTGGTTCAATTAACTATCTAGTCTTCTCCAAGCAGATTGTAATCCTTTCCACCAATATCTAGCATTTTGGAAGCTAGATATAAGCAAAACTCTCTCTTTTTTATAAGTAGTTATTAGTCTTTTCCAGCAGTATCTAACATTCTGGAAGAAGTGGTAGGTAGCTTTTTGGAAACCACATCTCTTTTCCAAACATCTATTAATGTCTTTGAAAGTAATAAGTGGTCTTGGAACCAGTAATCCGCCTGTCGAAGTAGGCTAATAGCAGTGTTTAGCGTTGTGGAAGCAATAGGTATTATTTTGAAAACAGTATCTACTCTTTTCCAAGTAAGTTGTTGTCATTTTCTGCGGTATCTACCATTTTACAAGCAGTAGGTAACTTTTTGAAATAGAATTTCCTCTTTCCAAGCAGTTTTTAGTCTTTTACTAGCAGTATTTAAATTTCTGATAGCAATAATTAGTGTTTTGCCAACAGTATCTAGCATTCAGCCGAAACTTTAAAGTGATGTTTGGGTAAGTTTTACACTTTACCGCACTTTTTTTTTATTTGTCGATTTTTAAGCGATATGATGATTCCAAAAAGGAAGTATTTTTTAATTAATGTCGATTTTTTTAGCGAAATTTTTGAAAATTTTGCTGCAAAAGAATTAAATTCATTTATTTTACAAAATATGAAAAAGTATTTTGATCTAGTTAAAAATAAAGTTGATTCCGAACAAGACAACGGAGACACCGTAGTTTTGGTGAACGCTTTAGACCGATTTTTTCGACGATTACAAGCCATGAACACGTTATGCAGAAACGTAGATTTTTCAGAGTATGTTAAACTGATTATGAAGATAATTTTATTTTAAAATCACATTCTTTTGTAGGAAAGGTATTGAAATTATCATAAACGCAGGTAAAAGACAGTGTAAAATGCATCTTAACCTGTTAAAAATGCATTTTGCTGAATCAATGACGAAAGTTCGTCAATCTTTAAACACGACGAAATTAATTACGCAAGATAAAGATGATAAAAATTTGAATGAACTTTTAGTTTCGTTGATGATGACGATCGTTGAAAAGATTAAAGGAGTTTTGCAAGATCTTGTGGTGAATTTATTTGTGTCATAAAAATTCGTGATCTAAGTTTATTGTTTAGGCTTTTATTCAACCGGATGTGACGTTCGCTCAAAAGGCTCAATTTCGAGATAGTTTTTGTGTTGATAATGTTCGAGAGGGGCTCATTGTATGTTTTATTCACCACTTAACAGCAACTGCTAGAAGTTTTTGTTCCAATAATACAATGGATATTAAGAATCCACCCACCTTAATGTTATTATTATCCAAATTTTGTATTGATTTCCAAACTGGAAATATTCATTATTTGGTAGGAGCTAAATTAGGTTTTGTAAGCAAATTTAAAATAATTATTTTTTGTTTAGTTATCGAAAACTGATGAATTATTCGGAATTAATTCAAAAGGCACAATTGCTTTAACTAAAGAATCTGAAATTAACACGACAATGCAAGAATCCGCTCAAGAACTGTTAAATTATTATGTTCGTATACAAGGTTTAAACGTTTCACAAGTAAATTTTATAATAAATCAAAAATTCTTCATTAATAACTTGCATTATTACAGATGTTACGTAAAAGTGTTGAAACTCGAGATTGGTTACACACAATTGAGCCAAGAACTGTTCGTGCTGTTATGAAACGTGTTGTTGAAGATATAGCTGCAATTGATTCAACTGTAGCTTTGTTATATGAAGATCAAGGGAATAATACTGAACATAGCAGCGATTCAAGTCGAAAAACACACAGTATTTCTGTTTCACGTCATCAATATAAATCAAATTGGTCAACCTATACACCAAACCACTTAGATTCAACTCTAGTATCGAACATGCATAAATTGTTTAGTGAAAGGATCGAAATTTTTTCAACGGTCGAATTTAATAAAGTTTCTATTTTAACTGGGATCATAAAAATTAGTTTAAAAACGTTTATGGAATGCGTCCGATTAAAAACTTATAGTAAATATGGATTACAACAAATTCAAGTTGACACTCATTATTTACAATTGTATTTGTGGAGATTTGTTGCTGACGAAAAGTAATTATTATTTTATTATTATTAGATAATAAAATTGTTTTGATTTCTTTTAAATTTCAGTTTGGTTCATTTCTTGTTGGACGAAATTTTGGGCTCTGCTGTTCATCGTTGTTTAGAACCGGTTTTAATGGAACCAAGTGTTGTTGATATTATATGTGAAAGGGGATAAAACACTTAAAATCAATAATTTAACAAATTTTATTATTAATAAATGCTTAATTTACGAATATATTCATTCCCATTTATAACAGCACCATCTAAATGATTTTTCTTAAAACCTAGATTCAATTTTTGTTATTTTCTATTAAATTGTTAATTGAAAATCAAAACTAGAAAAATAAAATGAAAATTAAACTTTGATGATTGTGTCAATTTAAAACAATTAGAGTTACCAACTTAAACAACCTAAGTTGGTAGCTCTAATTCCCCTAAACTGACATTAAGATCCAGTACTTCCCAAATAATTTGAAGAAAATGGTATCGAATGAAATAAAATTGTTGATAAAGAAAAGGTAGTTTTGTATTCGGTAGATAAAAAGTAGTAATACCGTACGTTTAATAAGTGAAAACACATACGGCATAACTACTTATTATCTGCTGAACATTCCAAACAAGAACTTGAAGAGTTTTCCAAAGAAAAAAGAATCGTCTTCTGAAACTAATAGTGTTTAAAAAATATAATTAAAAATATTACTTACTTACGATTTTATTTCAATTAGTGATTTGAAAATTAATGATTAGAAAATGGAGAAAATTATTAAAAGATGTTGTACAAACGACTGACGATTTTGTAATAAACCTCAGCTGATGGTGTTACGGTTTTACCTTGGGTAGACCGAATCAGCAGAAAAATATTGTGGCAGCAAAGAAGTGTGTGTGTGTATGTGTAATTGATACCGTGGTATAATTACATAAACAGTAACAGTCGATCTGGATACAAAAAAAAAATAGATTGAGACTTGAGATTTTCACTCGACTCAAAATCATGGCAGCATGACGAACTATCAAGGAGACAGATTTCAATCAAGCAAACGAATAGTTTAAAAATAGTAATGAAGATTGTAAATGTTTATAAAATGTAATAAAAAAATATGGAATTAGAAAAATGTTATTTGGGTTGCCTATATTGTATCAAAAAAATAGTAAAATTAATAGATAAATAACTGTTGGACTATTAGCAGTATGTCAAAATACTATATAATAAATGCATTAATGTTTAAACGAAAAAAGAAATGATAATTGTTTCAAATAAGTAAAGAAAGGAAAATGGAATGTTGCCAATGATTATTTGAACTGTAAGGTTAAACGTCAACCAAATTTTTAAGGTTATGTTTACTTGTCAAATACTAAATCATAACTAAATTTTAATGTATCGTAATGCATTATGTGATATAAATTGTATCTTTTTGGAATTTCGTCGCACGATGAGTATATCAACTAATATCGTAAATTTACTATAAAATATTTATAAAAAGATTAATTCAATAAAAATATTATTTTTGTTTATATAAGGTTGGTATTAAAAAAAATTGCATAACGCAGATTTGACTTCGCGACTGTCAAACAATAAACTAGCGTTATTAAAGCTGTTAAAGTCCTAAAATAATTAACTAAACTTTTATTTACGTAAATAATTTACGTATTTGACTAATACATAGAGTACAAGACTTATTTAAGAGTAATTTTGACAAGATGAGTAATTACAAATCTAACCTAACCTCAAAAAGTTAAACGTCAAATTATAACATCTTTATAAACGAAGCAAACTTTATTAGAAATAATTTACGACATTTGTTATTAGATTTGTACGTAAAATAGGTTATAAATGATTGGAAATTTATTTTATATCGCTTATATCAATAGATTTGCTTGCATTATTTGACATGTACAAATGGAGTTTTCAGTTTGAAACCGTTCAGAAATGGTTTGACAGGTTTGTACGAACAAGTCTATTATAAATCCAAGTCTTTTATAATTCCAGTATGCAAAATCCGTATTCAAACACATTCCGAAATATTAGGAAATCACGAATTACTCAAGATTGGTACACCTTACAACCATTGTTGAACGCTCTGTAGTAGAAATTTCAAATATTTTTGATGATTTCAAATTTTTGATGATTCACTTAGAAGAGTAAAAGCAAAAGTAGATATGTTGGTTACCTTTACAGTTCGACAACTCAACGGCAAAGAACATTTTAATCGCAGTTGACAGCAAAAACCGTATTCAAACAGTACAAACTTTAATAATAACTAAGAAAATTGTACATTTGGAATAACACTAATACTTTGCTGAATGTCTGTTGGCTTAACAATAATTAGCACTTATAATTAGACACCTTGAAAAATCCCTTTATAATAACTAAACATTTGGGTTTAGCAGTACGTCTCTTATAAGACGGCTAAACCTGAATTAATCTAGTACTTGGTCTGGCGCTGTAAAATAATTAAAACTAGAACTAACACTAGACCTAGAACTAGAAACATTCAGGTTTAGCCGCACGTCTTTCAAGACGGCTAAACCCGAATGATTCTAGTTCTAGGTCTTGTGTTAGTTCTAGTGACAATGCTAGTGTAAAACTAGAACTAACACTAGACCTAGGACTAGAAATATTCGGGTCTAGTGTTAGTTCTAGTTTTAGTTCAATAAAAATATACAACATAGTGATATTTTATGATAACTAGCGCTACCTACCACCAGCCAGCCGTCTTAAGAGAGGTACGGCTAAACGGAATATTTCTAGTTCTAGGTCTAGTGTTAGTCTAGTTTAATTTGTTATTCAGCACCAGATTGTATATTTTTATTTAGCTACAACGGACACTGCGTTCCACGCATTGATCCGCTATATCGAGGTTTTACTGTAATGTCAAATTATATTGAGAAACTAAGTAGGTATGCCCTGATTTCTATGGAAATATATTTTAGTATATTGCATCTTAAATGAAATTCACTGTATACAGTACTATGCAAAATTTAAATCATGTGTAAATGAAACGTTTCCTGTCAGTTACATTTAAAAAAGTAATTATTACTGAATTTCGTTGGACCGGAAATTTGATTACACAATGTTAAAAAAAGGAACCGCGTTAAGCTAGGTCCCGCATCGTCCGGTCACCCCTTTTTCTTGTATCATAAACGTGCTCTTTCAATTCAACATCAACTCCACCTCGCACTCTCTTTTTAAATGATTCATGTATTCATTGCGATAATTCAATTTACCAATTGACCGAAACGCCGACGGTGTCAAATGGTTTCAAACCGGTAACCAGTATATTTTTTTTCATTCTTTTACTCAACCAATGATTCTATTTTTATAAATTGACGTAATAGACTTTTATAAAACAATTTCCTACTTGTTATAATAATTCGTTTAACACGTGGAATTCTTTTTATTTTCGATTTTGTCTGTACAAGTCAATTTTTAATTAATTTAGTTAATTTTAAATATATTTAATTAATCGTACGGAACGTATGAATATTTATAACCACCACCATAAAGCGTTCTTTTAGATTTAGTTTTTAGATATTTTTTAAGTTACTTGACGCATCAACAATGGGGCTGACCACAATAGAATAATAACGTGCACAAAAGGAAATAATCTCTTAATTTAACTTAAATTACACTTGGGATGTGGGTTCACATATATACCCAATTGGTGCTTATTAAGAGGGCCCCAGTCATCATTTACTCGTCGTTAGTCGTGTTACGTGAATGTTGTTTTTGAAGGAAACATGGTTTCAACACACATATTTAAAACGTAAATATTACTTTTATTATTATTCGAAAAGTTCTTGTTTTTTATTAATTTTATATACCTATAAATTTATTAAAATTTGTAGGTTATAAAAAAATCCTTTAAAACAATTTCATACATAATATTTATGTTTGTAACAAAGTTAGTGTAATTGTTTAAGAAAAAAATATTTTTTTTATAAATATTATGCAACCCAAATAGCGCATAATGTATTAAAATATTTTTTTTAATGAATTCTTTAAACGATTTCTAATTTATCCTTTTTCTTTATTTTCAGTTACGTATAATGTAAAATTGCAATAATTTAATTTTTTAATAATTAAAAATATAAAAACTTAATTAAGTCTCCATCTATTGAGTTTATTTCCAAGTAAGAATTCAAATAATGAATTTTATATTAACTTTTTCTTGTATTCTTTTATTAATTCTTCTTATTAAATATTTAACCTCAATTGAACACTATTTTATGTCGTGTTTAATTTGTTTAAAAATAATAAATAACTCCTAATAATTAATACATTACATTTGCTTCCATCTATTGGACTAATGTTTAACTAAAAATTTAAATAACTGTCATTGCATCAAATAACAAAAACATTTTCATGTCTCCATCTATTGGATTTAGAATCACAACTAAAGTAAAAATAAAATGTAAAATTATTATTGGTACCGCTGTTTTAGTTGAAAATAGCATTTAGAATCCCGAGTATAGAAAATGAAAAATAATCGCGTTTATGAATATGGATAGACGATAACCCCGTGACACATCGAAGATTGCGTTGACCCTATGAACAATCGAGTCGCCTTTGAAATAAACACGGCCATTTGTTGTTCGATCGTCGCTTGTTTCCTACCGATAATCGGTAAGTTTAATTTTTTTTCTTTAACATTAATTTTTTTTTTAAATTTGTTTCAAAAAGTATTGATGAAAAGTATCAACATAGACATCTCGGTGGGTATAACCTCAAATTAACCTTCATTCTTTTTAATAATTAATTATTTTAAAGCAAAAAATCCCCACGATATATTTTTCTTTATTTCTTCCTCTCTATCTTTCTTTATTCCATCTATTTTTGAGGTTAAGTGATATGACCCCGGTTTGTGAATGATCTGTCTCGTTACCCAATTAAGTCTGAGCTTTTTTTCTAAACTCTTTTCGTACTTCTCCAACCAAGCGCAAAAAAGAACAAGGTACCAACTCAATTTTCTTTAGGTTGGTAATAAATTTAAAAAATAATTCTGTTACTTGTTTCTAAGTACTAGTGCCGCAGGAGAGTTATTCGTTGCTCCTGCTGCTCAAGTGCTTATCAATAAGAAAGCAGGAGACGCCCAAGAAGTTTTACAACATCGCCATTGATGTGGTTTAAATTTTAATAAACAACATCCTACTGTAAACGTTTCTTTACGAGGAGTTCATTGGCCAATCGACACTATCTTCGTCATTTCCTGTTTTTTTTTTTTTCAAAAGGGGCTATTAAGTAGGTTGTAAAGTAATTTTTCAATTTATTTCTCCTCTCTCGGCAACGTCCGTTTTATTTCCTTTTTTTATTTAATCTACTTTTAGAATTAGTTTAAATTAATTTTTATTTTAGGTTATATACATCTTATTCTCATCGCGTGTCGTTTGGGTTGCATACATTTTTTAAATAATATACATGTGTCAAAATTAATTAAATTTATGCAAAATATGTACTTTTTATTGTTAAATTATTACTTTTATTAGCATTTATCAACCCAAATAATAACTTTTTAAATAATTTCTAAAGGAAATTATGTAAATAATTATCGAACAGATAAAATTGGAAAGCACACCTAACTTCATAGAAGTTAAATAGTTAATCAGTAAAATTTTAGATGGCGCTTATAAATTAGACAGATACTTGGGTTGTCAAAATAAAAATTGAAAATTAAAATAAAAAATTAAATTAAATTATGTAGTAATTAATAATTAACGTAATAAGATAACAGAAAATTAGTAGCATCACATTTCAAATGTCAATTTCTCGTCGGTTAAAATGGCTAGTCTCCTGGTTTTCTTCTTGTTAGCACAACTGATCCACATTCATGGAAACGGGCAATTAATCTCGTTATTGTTGAGTTATTAGGTACACCAACATCTAAATATTTCGCACGAAATTACTATTAAACATACATTTAATTTGATGTGGGCGACTTTTCGATCTCTCTGTACTTTATATGCTTTTATAGTATTTTAGGAAACCAAGATCATAACAAAATGTTATTTGGGTTGCCTATCTGAATTAAAAAAAAGAAAATAAATTCCAAACCAGGTGAACCAAAGTAAAAGTTAACCCAGGTAGAATTCTCTCTCTCGTCCTTGTCCGTTGCTTTCTCGACAAAACCCGACCCAAACCGTTTCTTCCACGCCGTCATCCTCGTTCCGGTACGGACAACAAAACCGTCTGGTTCTCAATACCTAACTCGGTTCGTGTTCTTATCTTAACTTTAAAAAAAAGTGGAAAAGAACGCAAAAGAAATCATGTGAAACCAAAAAAAAACTTCAAAGACTTTTTAAAAAGTTTAAAGTGTAAATATTTTTAAAATGTGTTACTTCTTCGTTTGGACGATTATCGATGATCGATTGTATTGGAGATGACCATGTTTAAGAGGGCTATGATTTTCGTGACCTTCTTCGGATCCTGCTTTGCCATAGCTTTGCTGGTGGCCAGCCTGGGGACCAAACAGTGGGTCAATGCGGTTGCTAAACGAACAATAAACCCCGAAGAAAGTCAAGGGAGGATTAATTTTGGTTTATTCGATGGTAAAAAGGATTTAAACGTTGCGTATGGATGGAGAACTTACCCTATTGATGGTATGAGAAAGAATAAAAAAAGCTTTTTTTTTTCATTGAGTTTGTTTAAAATTCTCATGAGGATCCTTTGAAATCATTAATATTTATAGGATTTAACATACCGTTTGAAGAAAAGTAAAGGTGTGTTTGAGAAAAAACTTAATAAATTACCATAATAAAGACATATGAATAACTATAAAAATGTTACCAACATATTTCTTTTTAATTATTAAACTCTTTAATTCTTTCAAGGTCACACTGTCAAACCTTTATTGAACTAGCAAATTAACACATTCCTACTCAAGGAGTTATTTTTAGGTTGATTTTAATTGATTTTATTAAAGTGAGACAACTAAAGACTTGTTAAAAAAATATACACCTACCTCTACAATGTGTCACTCAGGAACCTGTTATAACTTGTTTTTGGTCAACCCAATTCCTTGCGTTATTTTCTATGGAGAAAGAACAAGAAAATTTGCCTCAGGCTTTAAACGCGTTTACATAACAGTTATAAATACCTTGAAAATGGGATTCTTTACTACAAATGTAATAAAATTAAAATGTAAATAAAACTTGCTCATAAATAAACGTATTCATAACAACATTTTAACGTTTGTCAAAATAAAATTTTTGACAGTTTGAATTTGAGTATTACCAACATAAAAATATAATAAAATTCAAATTTTGTATTAAAATGTTAAAATTTATTATTATAAGTATTATTTTTTATTTTTAGTGGTACATTTATTAAAATATGAACCAGAATTTTTAAATTACTGGTTATGGTTGGGAACGATAACATGCGTTTGTGCCGGACTCCTTCTTTCAGCGTTAAGTGGTGTTTTCGCTGCTATTAACGCAGGAACAAATAGCTCCAATTGTCTTTTAACATCAAAACGTCTCTATTTATGGAATTTCTTAGCAAGTAAGCCTCTATTTGTTTAACACCACTGAAGAATCTTAATGATTGTTTATTTTTAGTGCTCTCAAATCTGGGAGCAATCGGATTTTGGTTATTACAATATTATTTTAAGCTCCAATCGAACGTTTTATCGAGAGAAGAGTTGGAGAATATGTGGACATCGGAAAATATGGCTGATTTAGGATATTCATTTTGGTAATTTTCGTTAATTATCTACATCTTGCTCCAAACTGAGTTTTTGATTTTAATTTTATTTAGGTTTGTGGTAGGAGCAGCAGCCGCAAATTTTATTAATATAATCATTCTTCTGATAGCAAACAGTGATGGAAATAAAGAAACCGTTATACCAATGCTTGAAGAAAAAACCAATGGGGCCATTATGCTATATTAGTTCTTTTTATTATTGTTTTCTTAAATAACAATCTTGTAATTTTAGGTTAAACTTCTTTTTCGTTGTACATAAATATTTATAATTACCACTATACATAATATGCAATAAAAAAACTTAATTTTTATTATTTGATTAACCTTAAAATTTTGTTCTGTAACTTCATGTTGTAGAATGTTATTTGGGTTGCTGATGACCTGGTAATCACAATTCAAGGTAAATTTGACACAATCATAACCATAGATAATACTGTACTACTTACTAGCTCTTGATGCAGAAGCATTAATCCAAACAAAGTCAAAATAGGGACTATTCACCATTGAAGGCAGAACATTAACTTCAAAATAGAAGTCAAATACCTAGGGGTAATACTAGCCAGTAAATTAAACTGGAACTTCCACACAGTTAGGTGAGAAAAAAGGCCATCATTGCTAATTAGATCTGCCACAGTCTCCTTGGAAGAAATTGGAGTTTTAAATCACAAATAGTCGCCTATGCCTCACTGGTTTGGTGGCCAAAAATAAAACAAGACAGCACAAATCCTGCAGTTAGCATGTTTTAATATAACAGAGGCAATAAGATCTTGTCCAACCGCTGCTCTTGAAGTTCTGCTCATACCACTTCATTTATACATACAAAAGGAGAAAAAAAAACGTGCTCTTCAGTCATTGATGCAGAGTAACCTCAGAGGACATCTCGAAATCCTCAAGAAACTACGTCTAAACCACTTGATTGAAATTAAAACGGACTTTATACTGATAGAATATAATTTCGACCCGCCGTATAAGGTCATTTTTAGAAGGAGGGATGCTTTTTTTCAGTTATACATTATGCTCCGTGGGCTCTCTGTTACGGGTCTTCTCCCCCTGTATCTTCTCTTATTCGTACTATAGAACTTCATCTTTACTAAATCAAATATACAACTCTAAAGATACTGTTCATATCATGCTTTGCTCTTTTTGTAATTTATTTTTATCCCTTAAAAATGACTATAACGCTTCAACTAAAACGCAATGTAATCGGTGATTAGTTTATTTTGAGGAAACTTTACATCAATTGGTCTGGATGAACGATAAGAACTGACAAAACGATAAGTAACCTGAGAAAAGTCGCTAGGGGCAATGATGTTATTCTATGGTGAGTTCCAGGTCACAAAGACATTGAGGGCAATGAAAAGACGGACAAATTGGAAAAAGAGGCAACGAAAACGCCCTTTATTGGACCCAAATTCGGCTGTGGATTACAAAAAAAGGACACTTAAAACAGGAAAGAACTTCCAGGTCACAGTGAGACAAGTGTATGATAAATGTGTCGCAAAATAAAACCAAAGAGGTTTTATACCTCAGCAAAGGGGATTTAAAGTCGCTCTAAGACTTCCTGACCAATCATGCACGCCTAAAATATTCCATATTGGACAAGTTGAGGATAAAACTTGTCGATTTTGCAACGACGAGTCGGAAACTGCTGAACATAAGCTGTGTGAATGCGTCGCTAGAGGCCGCTTAAGACACAAAATCTTCGGTAAAATTCGGCTGACAATTACTGACATAAAGGAACAAGACTTTGGAGCAATACTAAGGTTCATCAAGGATCTACATTTGTCCTAAACCTTTGGAGGGTTTAAGTTACAATAGATCTTATAGGTCGTGGCGACGAGAGGCCGCTCCCCTCAGCAATAATAATAACAATAAGTTATTTGGGTTGCATAACTACAAAATGTAATTAATATAATTTTTGCATAATTTTCATATAAATAAAATAAAATCACAATTTATTGAACCTCACCAAATTTTATTGCGTAGCATTACAATCCTAATAAATATATAAATCGTAAACCTGTTATTATAACTTTGAAGGGCGAGAAAAAGTAAGAACAGAGGAAATTAAATCAAACTGGTAAAATATATTCTTAATAAAGCAATGAAATCCCGTAAAATAATAATTAAAATCGGATTCTTAATTTTAATGGTTAACCCGCAATTTTAATAAATCGAGGCGCTGATGTGCGTTGTACCTTTTTTAACGACGCTTGGATACTTGGGACCATCCGTCTTCAGATTCGGGCAATGGCTCATGTTCTATATAATTTATCACGAATAAACACAACAAAAAAAATTAATTAAAAAAAAATAACAAAATTATTATTATTATGGTTATACAGTTAAGTAATTGTAAACGTATTCAAGAAAAAAAATTACTTACGTTTATTATCACTATTACGAGTCGGTCCTGATTTTCGATCTCTATCTCTATCACGATCTCCTCCTCTCGTGGCTTTATCATCCTTTCTTAAATCTTTACCACCTCCACTTCTCCAATCATTACCACCTCTAGAAGAACGATCACGATCGCGATCACCACCCGGTGCAGGACGTCTAGAATCATCATCAGCTTTAGATCTCCATGATGAGCCTCTATCATCACGGCGATCACGATCATCCCTTCTATCTCTATCATCACGGCGATCATCTCTTCTATCTCGGTCACGATCATCGCGACGATCTCGATCATCTCTTCTATTATCCCTATCTCTGTCATCGCGGCGATCTCGATCATCCCTTCGATCATCCCTTCTATCATCACGGCGATCGCGATCATCTCTTCTATCATCACGGCGATCTCGATCATCTCTTCTATCATCCCGACGGTCTCGATCATCCCTCCTGTCATCGCGCCGATCGCGATCTTCTCTCCTATCATCACGATCTCTATCGTCTCTTCTCTCATAGCCACCGCGATCGTCACCACGACGACGATCGTCATAACGATCATCTCCGCGACGGTCCATTTCTCGGGAATCTCCGGAACGAGGAGCCGAACGCCAACCACCACCACCACCGGCAGATGGTTCTGATGGTCGATGATCTGATGATGATGATTCTAATGGTTTTGAATCAGTTGAACGTTCAGCTTCACGCACGCGAGCTAAAAATTAAACGTTTGTATTATTGACAACATTTTAAATGAAAAAACTTACAAGATCTCCACGCAGTAGGTTTTTTAACCTCCTCCGTTCTTTCCCCACGTTCTCCTCCACGTCTCCAAGGATCGTCTCCCCCAAATTTCTTATCTCTTTCTCCACCACCACTACCTCCTCCTCTTCTCCAAATTTGAGATCCTCCATCTTCATTCGATTTCATGCTTGCTTCCTTTTCCTCTTGCAACTTCCTTTCAATCTCCTCCTCTCTCTGCCTTTTTTTAGCGGCCGATCGTTCCAACATTTCTTCTTTTTCCCTCATCGCCCTTTCTTTCTCCTCCCGGTCTATACGTTCCTTTTCTTCGCGTTCCTTTCTCGCGATTTCTTCCAACCTAGCTTTTTCCTCTTCTTCTTTCCGCCGTTGTTCCGCTCGTTTACGTTCCTCTTCCTCCTCCTTTTCTTTTAGATATTTCGCGCGACGCTCTTGTTTGCGTTGTTCCTTGCGTTGATCGAGACGTTTTTTACGTTCATCGGCTAAGATTCGTTCGAAATCTTTTAATTTATCCTCGTAAACGACGTTTCGTTCTTTCATTAATTTCTCGAGGAAAGCTGCTTTGTCGGCTTTCATGCGACCGAGACGTTCTTGGGTGGTTTCGGCAAGTTTTCTTTCTTCAATTTCAGCGTTGATTCGTTCCTCTTCTTGTTGCTCCCAAAACGCTTGGTCTTGTAATTGACGCTCTTTCATGTTTGCTTGTAGTAGTGGGATTTCTTCTAAGCGTTTCGCGCGTTCGAAGTAATCAACTTTCTTTTCTTGTGATTTAAGTTTTGCTTGTAGTTCGCGACGTTCTTTTTGTAATTCTTCGGCTTCACGAGCTGCGATTTGGTCGGCGTCCATTTTTTTGATATCATCCTCGTCGAGTTTTTTTAAAATCTTTTGACCGTGACTCGTTTGCGAGATTTGTTGCATTTTTTCTTTTAAATGTCGATCTTTGATTTGTTGGATTTCGTTTAAGGCTCGTTTACGTTCGCGTTCTTCGCGCTCTTGTTCCAAACGTTTCTGTTCGGCCAAAGCCTGTTGGCGAGCCATTTCTTCGAGGCGACGTTGTTCTTCTTCTTCACGAACGGTGTTTAATCGCTCAATATATTCTTTACGATCTTCGATGATCCGGCGACGTTGCAATATTCTTTGATGTTCTCGGACTTTAGTTTCGTGATAATTCGCGACCATTGCGGCTCGCATCTTTTCGCGCTCGCTCTTCTTTTTATTCGGGTTGATTACATTAACGGCTCGATGGAGAACCGTTGCCATACTGACTAGTTGATTGCGAATTTGCTCGCTGGGCATACTTTGCAAAGTTGGCCCTTCGGGGTTGTCTTCCCTTTGACTTTCCGATAAATCGATTCCGAAATGAACGCAATATTTCTTGTGGTCAATACGGATTTGCATATCATTATGGCGAACGCAATCAACTAATAAACGCTCCATATGAAACGGAGTCGTAAATTGGGCGAGTTCGATTAATCGGGAGAACTCGATGGTTTGATAAACCTGGGCTATTTGCCTGATTAATCTTACCAAGGTTACATCTTGTAAAGCAGGCACGTATTGTGCTAATGGTGAATTTTCTTCTTTTTGTTGTAATATTTCAATGACGGATTTAACGCGGAAACACAAACATAATGGATGGAACTCAACTTCAAGCCAATTATACAGATCTTGAAGTTGGGGGGTGGCTAAATTCACAACATTAGCTTTTACAATATCTTTTAAAAGAGAGGCTCGGGTTGGTGGTTGGAATAAACCTAATAAAACAGCGAGTCTTTGTGCTTTCTCCAACGGAGATTTATCGGTTTCAATGAAACGATCAAATTCTGGGTGAGCTGACGGAAGCGGAATTGCTAAAGTTGCAATTAAAACAGTACACGCCATTCTAAAATTAAAAAAAAAATAAAATTAATAAATTCTTTAAACTTAATTAACCCTCCGTTAGGCGCGCATATATCTTTACAATACTAAAGTCCGTAGATTTATCAAAGTACGAAATATCGAGCCAAAATGGCGGTTTGACAGCTTGTCAGTGCATGTTGCGACTTATTTCCAAAAATAATGCCGTCTTATTGCCTTTGGAGTTGCAAAAATAAGGTGGGCTTTCGACTCTTCGGAGTACCACGAGAAAAAAGAAGAAACGACATTTACCGTAATTTTATCAACAGAACGACGTAGTTTTAAATTTCCCGCTTGACTTTCGAGCCAAAATGGCGGCAAACAGGTACTTTGATAATCTAGGGACTTTATACAATACGTATGTACAGAATGGTTCAAATTCGATGTCCGAATAGGCTAACTCGGAAACTATAAGAGTTAGAAAAAAAGTAATTTACATGTCATGATCTCGTTTTTCGAGAAACTGCTAATTAACCTTTTTTTTTTAGTGTCGTCAAAGAAATTCTTTGTCATCACCTTTGTCATGAAGTCTTATTTTATCACACAAAATACGAAAACACTAATTGAAAAATTGCACATAATATAAGCTCCGCCCATATCTCTGACGTCAAGGCTTAGGTTGTCTATTGCCCAATTCGTCAGTCGGTAATAGTTATTAAAATGACAAATAATTTACAGTTTTAGTGAGCAAACTGACATGCTTTTAAGGTTGGGAGAGTATTTAGGCTTAATGCTAACGCAGTGGTGAGATGATATTGCAAATAACTGATGATACTGTTGATATCAAAAGTTTGGAATATCAAAATTACGGCTTGGCGTGTGCCACACAAACAGCAATTGTATCCACACCACTTGATGCTGCGTGTTTAGAAAAAAAACTTTTTATTGATGACCATTAATTTGAGATATTGCTTTACTTACGATTAATTTCGACAGATGATGCGACAGTATTTCATGGACGAGGTTATATCTTTTTGTGAATAACTCTAAAACGATGCGTCTAATCAAAAATTTCCAAGAGTGAAAATAATTTTAAAATGAAATAGGCTTTTAGAATCAGTTGGAATTTTAAGGGCTGACGACATAATAAAAAAGTTTTAAGGAAATAACCTTTGTGGACACCTGTATAGCATTGATCCCATGGTTGCATACTTTCAAAAGTGATCTCAAACGATTTCTCATCATAACATTGCATTCTTTGCCAAATTTTATCTTTCTAAGACAAACCATATTGAAAATAAAGAATTATATTCGAAACTAGTTTTTAATATTTAGAAGAAATAATATAAAAGTTTTTTTGTACTTTAATTAGATAATAAACCTGAGTTTTACTAGTTTCAGCTATAAGCCATCTTCAGAGACTAGTTTTTGAACACAATTATAGATTAAAATACCAAATATAAATTTTTAAAATTTAAAACGTTCTCTAAAAAACTAGTCTTTGAAGATGGCTTGTAACTGAAACTAGTAAGACTCAGGTTTATTATCTAATTAAAGACCAGTTTAAAGGTACAAAAAAACATTTATATTATTTCTCCTACATATTGAAAATATTTAAGAAAATGTTTTAACTTTGAAGGTCCATATCTTAAGTATTTGTGGGTTTAGACCAAAAATTTTTACACAAATTGTCATTACTTTTAACTCTAGTAATTGTGATTAAAATTATGCCACAACTTACAGAAACAACTGTATAAAATTAATTTATTGACAAATATTTATGACCTTGATATAAATCTTAAGCATACAAATATAATTTGTTTTCAAGATTTTTTTTGTTTTCCCAGAATTATTATTACAATATTGCAATAATGACAATCATTTTTTACCTGTCTGTTTTTAGAATTGTTTTTATTCGTAAATTTGTCTGATCTTGTTAGGTCCAGTGTGACCTAAAAAACAGGTCAACTCCTATTCTTTACCTTTATAAACATTTTATTGTCAGTACCAAGAATTTCTGTATTTAAGTAAATCCTAAATATACCTCTAATTGTGCCTGACATCCCAATTTGCGCCGAACTTGTTTTCATAAAATATAAACAAAGTTTCTCCCCCTTTTGCAATTATTTGGAGAGATATAAATTTGGCAAGCATATTTGCTCTTCCTATTTGTTCTTAGTATTGTTGAGAAAATCTTGAAAACAAATTATATTTGTATGTTTAAGATTTATATCAAGGTAAAAAAATATTTATCTATATCAATCTCTTAATCATTATCTATTATAAATCTCTTAAACGCGCCTAACAGAGGGTTAATGAATATAATAGAAATACCGTTGTAATTCTTCTTGTGTAATATTTTTCTTCATTTCTTTCGACAATTGGAATAACTTAAACAATGCAGCTGCATGGAATAAATAATTCCCAGCTTTCCAGAAAACCATTGCTAATTTTTGATAATAATTAGCCATCGTTTTTGGCACAGGCATCTTCTTGGACATGTTCATTAACCCATGAATATCTTCAATAGCTTTATAAGCTTCCTAAATTAAAATAAATATTAATCTCATTTCGTTAATTCCAATTTAATTATTTACCTGCCACAGTTCCATTTGAATTGCAGATTCTAATTGATAAAGTCTCGTTTCTAAATTAAGTTGTTGCGTTTCTGGTTTAGACATAGAAACGTTAGCAACTTGAGCAGGAAGCTTGCAGATGTCTTCGAGGTGCTTGCGAAGCTTGTCGCATAATTTACGAAATTCTGTTTTACGATTATATTTGAGGCAAAATTGGAAGGCCATGCGGGCTATGTCGTGATATAAAGTTTCAACATGGGCGTTTGTACGTAACAATTCCAGGCACTGACAGTAAGATTCCCATAAAAATTTTACCCAAGGTGTTAAGATTGTACGATCTGAACGATCTTGAGCATCCTCCCCAGACACAGCACTCAATAATATACTTTCCGGAGTAGCTACATTATCTAAATCATCTATATCAACCACCGCTTGGGCAGATTGCTCACGGGCATTCTCAGTTTTTTCCTCAGCCATCCTCAAATATCCTCTGATTACATTTTCTAAAGATCCAACATTCACAGATTGAAACATATTTCTGTATTGAAACAGCCCCTCCTTTGCAATATGGGATTTTTTGAGTTCGACACACAAATCCAAGTACTTGAACATGATGGGTTCCAAAACAGATTCCGACCAATTGTAAGCCCATTTTTTGTTCCGGAAAACTTCCTGGAGCGTATCAAGGGCCCGGGTTGGTTTCCCAACTTCGATGAATTCTACACGAATCGGTAAAAAGGACGAGCGTAAATGAAAACGTGGTTTGGCATATGCTGAGAGTGAGGTTAGACTTACCATTGGCCCTTTTAAGAGCATTTTCTGGTCGCTGACCGTATCTAGCCATAATCGGGAATCACCACGGGGCCACTTTTCACATTTAACGGTCGTAAATATTGGGATTTCTTCGAGTATTCGCCTTAGAAACTGCGAATGACACTCGGAAGCAGAAAATAATTGCGGCAAAATGGCGGATGCAATTGATTAACATAAAATAATAAAAATCCCTGTTATTTACTTCTAAATTAAACAAAATTTTAATTTAAATTCGTTATTAAATTTACCGATTTAATTTTGTTAATAGTATGGGATATTACTTAAATGTTTTTAAACAACACTATTCAAAATTAAACCCAATAATCCATGAGTACGTAGTGCCATCTCTTATTGAATAGATGAACTAAAAATTATTTAAAGAATTTATCTGTCGAACGAGTTTAAATTATTTTTTAAGTAATATATTATTATTTTAATTAGTATATTTTCTGTGATAACTTAATTATAAAAAGGTAAATAAAAAAGTTGTATCTTTTAAATGAATATTTATTTAAATTTTGAAAGTATATAAAAAAAATCATGATTCATTAACCCTCCTTATAAAACTTCCTAATAAAAAATAAGCACAGCTTTTTATAAAGAATTACTAGGTAAGTATTATTTTTCAACAAAATTAAATTCTCGACAATAATAATAAAAAAAATATACAAAATAACAAATCTACATTACAAAAATACTTCTCTACAATCTTAAAAAATCTAGAACAAAGCAAATTTTTTCTTTTTCTTTTCCTTATTCGAGGTTGATTCACTTTCGTCGACATCTTTATCGAGATCAGTCTTTTTAGAAAAATTGATTTTAAGTTTTTTCTTCTTCTTTTTCTCCTTTTTATCAACATTTTCAATAACGTTTAATCCCTCATCTCTTTTCGCGGCGTAATCATTCATTGAATTAGTAATACTATTATCTTCATCATTCTCTCTTAATCGATCGATTTCTAAACATTCAACAATTTCATTTCTACGTTCAACAATTTCAACTATTCGAGCAATTAATTCTTCTTCCCTTGCTTTATCACTATCGGTTTTAGTAGCTTCAGGTTCCATCATCAAACAACGTAATTGATATTCAACGTCAGCGTGTTCTTCTTCTAAACGATGTTGACGTCTTAAATACATTAATTCCGCTTGTCTTCGACATAATTCATTTTTTTCATTAACGACTTCGAATAATTGTAACATTAAATCATCTACTTCTATTGGATCGATTTCATTTGGATCTAATAAAGGTCCTTCACATCGTTCGCGTATTATTTGTTCTAATCTAACACCTTGTTTTTCTAAACCTTGTTGTTGTAATTCAATCAAATCCAATTCCTTTTTAATCTCTTTAACCGGTAATTGTTTAACGTTGCGTTTTTGTGGAATTGGACGAGATGGAGCAGGACCCTTTTTCTTTTTCCATTTGCCATATGTACTTTTATTTGGAATGTATGAAGGTCTTTGTGGATGATGATCAGAATCGTCGGAAATACTTTGACGTTTTTGATTTTCAACGTTTTTAATTTCCTTTTCTTCTTCCCACGATGATTCTCGAATCATATTTTCACGTTCTATAAATGTTAGATCATTTTTTACTTCGAAAAGATTTCTTTGGTGAGTGGGTGGAGGTGGGGCTCTCTTTGTTTTACGATTTTTCGACGATGATAATCTCGGGGAATGTTGCTGTAAATAAAAATTTTTTTTATAAAATTTTGTAAATTAATTTAACGGATTTACTTACAGCACTCGTGCTTGGGCTTGAAGTTAATGAACTTTGAGTTGATTCAGGACTTAAAATGGGCGGCCGTGGCGCCGGTTTTTTCTTTCTCACCGATTGCCCGCCGGAAGTCGCGCTTGATAACGAAGAATTCGAGCCGTAAATTGCAGGAAGATGTTGATCCCGTAATTTTCTTTCTGGCGTTTCCTGATTGTTTCTGAAAACACGATGTTTTAACATATTAATTTTAAAATAAAACGACCTCTTTGTATTAAAGTGTTTTAACGAATGAAATTATAAAAAGAAAAAGTCTTTTTGGTTTTCTGTGTCAGGAAATAATCAAATAAAAAAGTTATGGAGGTAGACAGTTATGTTGCGTAGTGGTGTGAATATTAAATAGATTTCAGCAATCAAAATAATTTGATTATAATAACAATTCGGTAATTACAATAACGATCATTTTATTTGTGTGGTATGATATATTTCGCATAACAGGTTACAGATCTAATTATATTTGACCTTACTCTAGAAAACTGTTATTGACCTTCTTGGCCAGAGTGTACCAGAAACACTGAAATTTAACACAGTTATATGCTGCTGCAAATTTAAATCAACTAATCCCACTATTCATTAAATTCGTAAAAGATTATCAACAACTGAGATCTTAAGGACTTTTGTGTCAGACTAATTTTATTATTATTCGAAGTAATTATTATTCTGTGCTACAAGTTTGTGATTCCTAATTCTACCCACAAAGCCCTTTAAAAACCTATAAAGAACATGAATAACATTAAAATATTATTTTGAGATAAAAATGGAGTTAGGCCGTTTGCATCTAAGCCGACCATATGAGACTTACTACGATATGCGAAACGTAAAGTTACTTGGAAATAGAAGAGGAATATAGTCCTTACCACGAGAAACGTGAATGACTCATTGCTATTAAAGAATTTTTAAGGGATAGGCAACCAAATACACGTTGCGTATATGTGTGTTGCCTAACCGAAAAATATATTGTAAGAAAGAGACTATTTTAATTGCAAAATTACATATTATTTCTTCAATAGCATCATCTTCGTAGTCTTCATCACTGTTACCCTCTTGTATTCTTATTATAACAGGTTCTTGTACAAGAATAAATTCTTTGTTCTTCTGTCATCCAAAAATTTCACTTTCTTTAGCCGAGATCGCTTGCGGCATTTTAACATCGACTGGTCAAGTATAATACGTAGTTTGACACCTGTCTTCTGTTGATATGATATTAACAGTAGCGCCTCGCCCGCAAGCAACCTCGGCTTAATAGCGACATCATACATTTCAGTGTATTAAGCCGAGGCGGTACATTGTTTGACACTAGTGCTGTGGTGATACGGTATTAATTGTAGCGCCTCGGCCGCAGGCGACCTCAGCTGATTACAGTGACATCGTACATTTCAGTGTATGAAGCCGAGGCGGTACGTTGTTTGATACCACCCTTGTGTTGATATGGTATTATTTTTCTGTTTAATACAGTGACATTGTTTGTTCTATAGTCTGTTTTTAAACCAGGAGGAGCATTTCAAATTTCTCACCAGATTGACCTTGCACGTGATTGGTTGAATGCAAGGAAGGTTCATACACAGACAATTTTGAATTTGACGGTTAGGTTATTGATCATTCGACAGTTTCGTGTCATTATTGTCATTAATATTTTTTAATTTTTTTTTTCATTATTTTATTTTATTTACATTTGTAAAATTATATTTTAAACTAAATACACTCATAACTTCAAAACATATAATAATAAACATTATTAATTTAAATTTACCGCTAAAATATCTAGTGATATTCTCTGGTGATTTTTTCCAGTGTAAATCTGACTTTCGCATTCACTCCTTCTGGTTTAAAAACAGACTATAGTTAGTATTCTAGATACTAAAATAAAGCCGGGAAATGATTTTACTATACTTTGTCCACGACTATTGAAATTGATTCCATAGTTATTTTTTAAATAAATTTTTGAATAAAGTTTAAACGTCAATGTGACACAAATTCAGTGTTACTAACTGTAACCAACTTCACAACAATTTGTCAAAATTAAATGTCAATTTTATAAGACGTCGTTTTCTTTACGAAAATTCAATTTTTTAGGAGTTTCTAAAGACATTAAAAATCCTTTTTTCGTATGATTTAAGCATAAATTAAAGTATTTACGCAATAGCAATTACTAAACTAATATAATATACTAATATTGAAAAAAAAAACAACTAACCTTATTTTCCTTGGTGTAGGAACTGGATATTTTAAATTATCGTCATCATCATCGCAATCATCGTGATCCGTCCAAAGCGAATTTAAAGTAAGCCGGGGAGCGGCAACAACTTTCTTTTTAACATTGATTTGTTTATATTGACCAACAACACTAGGACTTAAACTAATTCTTTTCACATAAATCGAATCTTGTAAATCTTGATTTAATTCAAGAACAGGAGCAGCAATCACCTTTTTGACGGGCGGTTTAATCTCATTCTCGATCATTTTTTTATCATCTTCAACATTTTCGTCATCCTCATCATCACTATCGAAAGGATTTAAACTTACTTCTTTCTTAACGTGTTCTCTTTTCGAATCGGGAATATTTTTTCTCGTTAATGGAATGGGTTTTTGAGGAACATCTTGACTTTTCTTGGGAATATCTTCAATTTCTTCATCATCGTCATCTTCATCGAAAGGATTTAAAGATTTTTGATGGTTTACCAAAGATGAAATAGTTTCAATTTTTTCTTGTTTTAGACATTCTTTATTACTTTCTTCTTCATCTACTTCACCAAATGGATTTAGATCTTCAGGATAAGCTAATTTCTCATGAGAAATTTCAATAATATCTTGACTTAATTGATCACTTGATATTTCAATTATAATATTATCTTGAGTATTTTGGTAATCTTGAGAATTATTAATATCGTCACTATCATCGATGATAATAACATCATCGCTCGTAAATTCATCACACAACGATTTAGTAACGCTCGATTCATTTCTCTTTAAATCTCCATCTCCAGATATTTCACCAATTTCGTCTTTCGAATCGTTTTCCTCCAGGAATTTCTCTGAAACATCATCATCAACATGATTTTCAACATTTGTATCAACAATTTCTAATGAAGCTACAACATCAACAGCGGGTGCAGTATCTAAAACACCACTCACATCTACTATTTTAGCTTCTATTAAACTTACATCTCGAATTTCTTCAATATCCGATTTTTTATGGAAGATAATATCATCTTTTGGAGTTAAATCTTGATTTATTTTAACTTCAGGTGATTTTTGTGGTAAATGAGGTGGTTTTTCTTGCAATTTTGATAATACATTAACATTTTCTGGAGTTAAATCTTGATTTCTTTCTGATGATAAAACTTTAGTTATTCCCAAATCACTATTTATTGATGGAGATGTAAGTGATTTTTTTAACAATTGTTTTTCTAAAAGTATATTTAGTTTTGATGGTGATGGTGATGATGGTAATGATGATGACTCAGTTAATTTTGATGTTTCAGCGTTTATAGGTGACAAACTAATTCTATTAATTTTGTTTGTTGTAGCATCATTTAAGGGTGAAGACGTATCAATATCGTCATATTTGATAATATTTGTTGTGTTCTTTTTCTCAGAAGTTGCCATTGGAACTTCACTAATAGGTGTTTCAAATAATTTCATTCGATCCCGAACGGATGTCGGTTTTGTTAAATTGGAATCGTTCAAAACATCTTTGGTAACAACGTTTTTCATGTCTTTATTATCATTATTATTTTTATTATCACTATTTTTTAATAAATTTTTATTTACACTATCAATACTTTCTTCCGGTTGAGTACTTTGTGTCTTTTTTAAATCGGGGGGATTTGTTTTTGGCAATTCGGGAGGTTTTTCTTCTTCATCAACTTGCATTGTTAGAAACTTTGACCTTGCCGTAACGAATTCATTACTAATCGATGTTAAATCACTATTTTTTGTTGAATTTAACGATAAATTCGCACTTTCTAAAGCAGTCTCAAAATTACAACTATAAGAATCACTATGGTTATTGTTATTACAACTAATGTTTGGTTTATTTGATTTATTGTTGTTAGATTTTTCTTCGTCGCTGAGTGAGCGCGTGATTGTTGTTATTGGTGATGGTGTTTCTTCGTCGGGACACGTTTCGCAACAAAATTGATTTGAATCCGTTTCGTAATAGTTTGCTAATGAAAGTTGAGAGTTGCAACGTGCGCATCTAAAGCATGTACGATGAAAAAGGCTACCTTTGCCTACGTTTAAACGCTCAGCTATGAAAACCGGAAGACCGCATTTTGTACAAGGATCGCGTCGAGGTATACCAACTTTATGAATTATCTAGAAAAAAGAAAAAACAGTCACAAAAAATGATAACTTAAAGCATTTCTTTGAAATTAAAAAAAAAATTTACCTTCTAGCAGAATATTTCTGGTTTGTACTGCCCAATAATGTCCAAGCTTTCTTCCTATATAACACAAAAACAAACAGTGTGGGGGGAAAAGTTTATTTTGACAACAATTTAATGTGCAATGTGCCGAACTTGAAGAAATATTTCTATCTTTTCATTAAGAGTATTAAATCGACAATGTAGGAAAACGTTTCGTTCAACCAATAAAATAGTAGTGGTGGAAAGTCACACGTAGGTGGAAAGTACAGTTTTGCATGCGGCAAAATGGAAGAAGAAAGGCGTTTTCATCGACACTTATACGGTAGTAGTAAATAGTAGCATTGTTTCGTTTTGAAAGTTTTTTTTAAGTGGATGCATAACGGACGATAATCTGTTTTAACTCACACGAACGAATCGAGTCGTTTGAACTCGATAAAAGTTAAGTTGCCCAAGTAGAGAAAGACAAAGGATAAAATGGAACTAAAAGAGGGGACACCGACATTAGTCACGTACGATTTGCAATCTCATGAATAAATTCCTCGACGAAAAAATATTTCCCCAGTTTTTTTTAAGACTCACAAGGTTAAATGTTTTTTATTTTCTCATACAACATTTTTAGGCTGTTTTTGGTTATGTTACAAGATTATTCTAGATTGCATAAAGAAAGATAAACGAAATAATTAAATTATTGTGTTTCGTTAATGTTATGTTGTAAGGAGGGATGAGTAATAATTTTATACAAAAATTGATCGTGTAACATATACAGGGTGAGTCATTAAGTTACTCGAAATGACACCCAACCCGATCTTATCAAATTATTATTAATATAAAACATTAAATACCCAATATCATTTTGAGGCTATGATAGATTTTTCGTAAAAATGATTCTAACCAATTAGGAAGTCGTTTTATACAGTGAAGGTCAAAAGTCTACGTACAGCATTGAATAGAAATTAGTATAAAAAAATGCAATGCTACTTTATGCAACTCCTACTTGATTTCTTTAACTCAAGTGCGTTGTGTAGTATGTAGAAGTAGACGTTTGTCGTGTTAGTTTTTGCATTATTTGTTGAATTTTTATTATATAGCTATTCAGCGATTTGTTTTTTGTTTCTTTTGTGAATAAGTAAGTATCTCTAATCACTGTAATACTAATTTTCTGTTATTACGTTGTTCAAAAACCTCATAATTCAATGCTGAATGTAGACTTTTGTCAGCCACTGTACAGTTCGAGCTTGAAACCTGTCAAAAACAGTCTTGACACATTCGTGCGAACAAGCACAAAATAAAAATAAGGCAAAATAACTTTAAAATATGTAACAAACGTCACGTAACTTGCTCGAAATGACACCCAACACTTGATTTTTCCGCCATCTTGACTTTTAAGAAATGTAAGGTTATGTCGTAAAATATTAAAAAAAAATTAAGGGTTATAATAACTTTTGTTGCACCCTATATTTTTTATAGTAATCGACATTTTCGAGTTATAACTAATGAATTATAACTAATTCTTTAAATATAATTCTACTACTCACCCCGTATATACAATTATAGATACATTATCAATAGAAAAATTAATCAATTTTAAGTGATCCTTTATCCCACACTGTTTGAGTTTGTGTACAATAATTATTTACAAAAGTGCAATAACCACAAAAAATACGTTAAGAAACAACTACGTGTTTTAAAAACCGTTAAATTTTAAAAGTCATTGTTTGAAATTGAAAGAGAGGTTATGTTGTTGTTCGTTTTTGAGGACGAGAAATCAACGCACCCAAAAAGCAAAGAACAATGAACTTTAAATATTCACGATTTTAAAACGAGTGTTAACAAAACAGACTAAGTTGGAAAAAGAAAACGATAGGTTTATTTTTTATATACAGGTGTCTCACGTAACTGATTCGTTACAACTTTTTTAGGTTCCACCAGAAGTAAATCACAACTTCGTTATTTTAAATGGAACGCAATAAATTACAATCTATTTGATATCAAATGAAAGAGTAATCGTGCCAATTTAAACGTTGACTGAGAAATGGGGTTTGAAAAAGCATGATGAAATTTGTGAAAAAAAACTTAAAATCAAAATAACTCTGAAACGAAAAACGATAGGTATCAATAACTTTTATCATACTTTTTCGCATATAATTGAAACGTGTAATAAAACTACAGCATTCCATTTAAAATAACGAAGTTGTGGTCTACTTCCGGTAGACTTATGGCTTAGGTAATTTAACCCCTACTACCCAATTTCAAAACTGTACGAATAGTGGAACCTAAAAAAGTTCTAACGAACCAATTCCGTGAAACACCCTGTGTATGTACAGGTGATTCAGTTAAAAGATTTTTTGTCTCACTAAATCGTCATAGCAACCATTAATCGTTTGCGTTTCTGAACGCAGCCCTTAATTACTTAATTTAACTGAATCACCATGTATATCTTATAACCTTTATAACGAGTCCTTTTTAAATCCTTTCTTGCAAATTTAAATTATTTAAAAAAGCAACTAACTTCATGACAAAATTAACAAAAAACCTTTATCTTCGCTCTCCCAAATTATTAATATTTCGTAACCATAGAAACAAGAAGCCAACACAAACATGCAAACTATCACAAATAAAAACGATGAAAATTGGAATATAAAAGATAGGAAGAGGAAAAGGTTATTTTGTGTTTCTAAAAATGTGTTAAAATTGATGATTAGTTTTGATGTATTCATAAAGATTGAACGGCACATTGCACAAACATTAACAAAACGATTCAAATAAATAAAGCTTAATATAAACAGAATTTGTATTTACTTTTGTTGGTGGACTCGTTGAAGCTGGAGATACAATTCCTCTTTCAGATGCTGTGGCCGTTCTTTTAGGAACCATTCGTGACGGAGATGAAGCTAAAATCAAACAATGTTTATTAATAAAAATGTTGTTATAATTCTATTTTATTTCAATTTTATACTAATAGATGCCTCTACTTGAATCATTATATGATCTGTCAGTAATCCAACAAGATTTCAAACCAAATTAACTTAATTATACTTAATTAAATTAAAAATTAATTTTTAAGCCAACTAGTTCAATTCTCCTTGGATTTTAAATAAGAAAATTACAAGTTTTTCGTTTCTTGTGACCTTCTACCACCGATAACCTGTTCGAAAGCGAAAGTGGTTTCGATTTTTCTTAACTCGTCCTTTTTTTCTTAATCATCTTGTTCGTTTTTTTAAGCCGTTGTTAATTTTTTTATCCGTCGCGACGCCCAACCAACTTCGCCAGACTGCTCGGTGTCGTTAACTTTACCTCCCTCTTCCATCCCGACCGACTTCTTGGCTTTCTCTTCGCCGATCGAAGAAGAAGACGACGAACACCCATTTTCGATCGTTCCCTTCTGATAAAAGCCGCAATTCGTCGACGACTTGTTGCGTAATTATTACGCCAGAAGATTGATGCTCAACGGCTTCTCTTTTGCGCAATCGAAACGAGACGATCAAAAGAAGAAATCCAACAACTACTGGTTTGTTTTCTAGCCGTACAATTACATTTTGATTTCTAATAATTTAATTTTAAAGTTCAACAGATATTTTTTAGACTGCTAAATAGGTTATAATTATCAAACAATAACAACATGAAGTTAGTCATAAAAAGAAGTTATAGAAGAATAAAACTATAATTATTAAAGCATATATATATTTATATAATATGAATAATTATTTAGTATAAGTTAAAAATGTATTAATCTATAACATTTAGATTAAATTCAAAATTGAATTGTTTAAACATGTTTTGTACCGTATAATAAAGTTAGGAACATAACATTTTGGAATCGAATAGTTATTTATTATTTAATTCCACAATTTGTTTTAAACACTAATTTACTTTTGTTAATTTAGGAAATATAAAATTAAACCGCAATTCAAAAATTAATTTATCATAAACGATAATTGCGACCACAATATTAATGAAGTTGGTCACTAAAAACAGTGAGGTTATGTTAATGTCATTTGTAAATTAATTTAAGATTTATACAGTTTTAACTATATTTTTACTATTTTTAGAAGTGGTAATCGTAATTTAATTGTCTGGTAAATCTTCTTAAATTCAATGGAAATCGTACACCGGAAAATAACATTTAACAACCAATCACCGAGGAAATAGGAAGAGCAAAAAAAACACAAAGACTTTCTACTCTTTCTACAATTAAAACTGTCGTAAAACTGCTCTCTCGTCGATAAAAGAAAGCACTTTTACCATCAACATCTATGGGGACTATAAACTATCGACAAATCAATCATTGGGAAAGCTACTACAAAAACGGAAGAAATTTAACATTTCCGATTTCGTTGGTGATTTCTAATAGAGAATAAACATGGACGTGTACACACCCTAAAATATTAAAATGTCGAAACAAGTCTTATCTATATCCTAGGATAGAAACGTTGTTAACCCATTAAAAGATTGCCGCGCTTCGAGCACAGCTGTGTAAAAGCAACAAGAAGCAAAACGGTCACCCGTCGTCGTCCTTGGAGTCCGCTATTTGTTTTAAAACCGTACGATGATCACCGCCGGCTGTTGTAAAACGCTTCTATTTAGCTGTAACGACAACTATTCAGACTACTTACCTACATTTCAAAATAACATAAAAACAATCTAATAAATCAGATTATTAAACGATTAATGAAATAGAATTTAAAGCAAGGCCGTTGAAGGTCTTTGAAAATAAATCACTCCGGGGCCCCGGCGTCGACAATAGGTATGCTAATTGTGAAACAAACGGTCTCCGGGTTCGTGTTGTTTATCTATTGGATAGGATCGCAATACACAACTCTTGAAACCGAAACGGCAGCAGCCCCTCAATCTTAAGAAGTTACATAATTCTATGGTATGTCACTTAAACCGGGTACAACAACGCATACGTTTCAAAAGATTGATACGCGGACGGTGTTTCTTAATTAACTCCCCTCGCGTGCAACGGAGAGTCGAGGGGAACTTTTAGTTGTTTAGTTGTTACGAGGTCGAATCGTGTTCGGCCGAGCCCCTTTTCAATTCTTCTAGGTTATGCAAGAAGTCTCTTTAATAAAAGATAAATTCTTTTGAACCTTAATAAGCACCTAATAGAAAAATACATTTCTAATCAATATTATCATGGAAATATTGGCATCATTACCATTAATATTATATAATTACAAAAAGTGGTATCATAAGAGTTAAGGAAGTTATTTTGAAGGAGACAATATCGATGAGGTATCACTCTTAGAACGATGTCAGTTAGTAATCCGTTGACGTCCTCCTAAACCGCCCCCTGACTGCCTCGCAGAATCATAAGAAACTAAAGCTCAACTTAAAGAAATTAATGAAAGAGTACCAAGACAACGAAATGATTACTACAATACTATCTTTATTATAAATTTAAGTGATTTAAGAGATAAAGAAGAAATGAAATATTGTAATAGATGTTGAATGCAAATTATACCTTACAATATCTTAATAAAATACACAATCGAGATAACTTCCTGTATCCGGCAAACAATAACGTCAATAAATAAAATAAAAAGAAAGAACTAAAACGGTTTTCTTCCAGTCACAGACGCCGGCTGCAACACTCCTTTCTAACGGCCGCGGTCAGCGCGGATGTAAAAGTGCCCCCTCACACACAATTGCGAGGCACACACCAGGCGCAGCAGCATCTCTCGCCTTTTCCCGAATGCATAAACACTATAATTAAATTTACGGTGTATGACAGCGGCGTAGTGGCAGTCGTTGACCCAAAGTTCTTACAATCACGTTCTCGATAATAAGGCCAATAACACCAACAATTAAAACTAGAAACTAAATAACTAGATAAAAGAAAAAATTTCTTACCTTGAGATGAGGCGAAAGTTCTATAAAACTGCGCGACGTATGTGAGTATTGATAATCGATCAGGAACATCGTATTCGACCATATCTTCGGGATCTAAAAGGGCTGGAATCCCTAAGTGTTTTTCGGCCACTGTGAATGCAAGTTCGTTGTTGTCGTAGATGTTGTCCTTGTTGAGTTTGGCGAAATCACTGTGGAAAGAGAGTGGTCTCGGTTAGAGGCGCGATTAACAGTTCTTCGGGTCGTCTTAACGAAAAAAAAAAAACGAGCAGTCGCGGTCTTGGATACCGCTCTTTCCCAACAGAAAATAACAACTTGAACGAATAACAACAACAAAAAAAAACTGAAGACCGCTTCTTCTTCTTCTACGGCGTTAACCTTTCTAGGAGATGATCGCGGCGCGTGGACTCATCCTTTAAAAGGTTACCTAAGATGACCAAGAAGAAGAAGCTATTTCCTTCCTACTCTCAAACATAATACAAACTTCATGTTGGTGTTCTTAAAGAAATTTGCTATAGACTAATTTAATTGATAAAAAATTGTAAATGAAATAACGATTAGGAAAAGGTGATGATGTAGCTTAAAGTTAACTGTAAATAAACGTCATTAGGATCAACAATAATCGTCATAGAGGTTCCATAATTGAATTTTCAATTACCGTCTTGTCCCCAATCGACTCTTATTCACTTTATGACGTGCGAGAGGGATATGTTTTTTTTCGTTGGTTAATAAAAAATTTATTTAATTCCATTTTAACATCGTTCTTCGGTGGAGAACAACCTTTCTCATCGACTTCAAAGTGACCCCTTTTCCTCAAGGATGCGCCGTGCCGCCTCGAGAACGACTCACGACTTAAATATAAATATAGCCGTTACGTAGCCGACAATCAATTCAAAATTATTACAACAGCTGTACATCCTCTATTATTTCTTAAGCAATAATGTTGTATTCTTTAACTTTTTAACAATTACATTAATTTCTTACATTAATTCAGGATGAAAATGATGAATAATGGCGCAAAAAGCGAGTCCGTCGCGCCACGATGTAGTCATGTTGTCAATTTTGACCCCCGGATAACCTTCGACCATCCGCCTACACCAAAGTTCAAGCGCTTTCGTGCCCCTTCGTTCTGCCATTATTTCGACCCGGGGCAGGTAGTAACCGAGAACAGCACGTTAAAACGATCGGGAGGAAGACGGGGATCTGTAACAACATAAAAAAAAATCAGTTGAAAAAATAAATAACAAAGACCTGTGAGAAACGTGAGAATAAAAAATCGTACAATAAGAGACCGGCGGCTGCGTTCCCACCCGTTGTTGGAATAGGGGGGCGTCGGACAATGACATCTTTTCGGATATTTTGTTTGTAAAAATATTAAATTAAAATTTTTAATCTCAACGTCAAAAACGTATTTTGTTCAAAATTGAAGTTTAAACATGATACATGATTTTTTGGTTAATTATTACTTTTGTTGGAAAACGTTATTCGTCTGGAAATTAACGTTTTTTATTGACGATAATGCTAAAATAGAAATATTTGGCCATAAATACCAGCAATTTTCTATTTTTTAGGTTCGTTTATGGCTGACTTCAGTCTTTTAAAAACATAAGTAAACTATTGTAAAATCTATAAGACTTGATCTTGGATTTGGGTTGGACGGAATCGTACTTCATAAGCTTGATAGGTTTTATGGACTGTAACGAAAATTGAGCCTTCAATTCACCATGTTCACTATATTCAATCACTATGCTATCTCTAAGGAAACTAATTTAGTTTAATATCAACAACAATTGATTCTGAGTTTTGATTGCTTAATCAGAGGAGCTGAAAAAGAAGAGAAAAATCGTCCAATTTTGACATTTTGTGATTATAGCATAAATCACTAGAAACTGGTGATAAATAAATATGAAATAAGTATGGATTATGATTCCTTGATGCAATAGAAATATTTTTTATTCATAAAGTCTTTCTCCATCAGTTTTGGTATTTTTGTTATAGTTGATTTTATTAAGAAAAAGCGTCCAATTTTGACATTTTGTGATTTATACTGCATCACTAGAAAATAGTGATAGATAAATATGAAATAATTATGGATTATGATTCCTTGATGCAATACGAATATTTTTTATTCACAAAGTCTTTCTCCATCAGTTTTAGTACTTCAGCTATATTTAATTTTATTAAGAAAAATTGTCCAATTTAGACATTTTAGAGCTTTATCTACTAGAACTATTAGTTTTTAGGAACAGGAACATATAGTACTACTTGATATGATGTATCTGCACGTTTTTCTTAGACACTTTAAATTAAGTCAAATTAACCAAACGTCATCAATATGATTTCATTTATTTGAACTTATTTGCACTTATTTGGTTTATAACTCAAATAATGTGCTATTTAACACAAATAATTTTTTCTGTTTACATAAAAAAGATAATAACGTGTTATTTTTATCAATTTTGTTGAACAAAATTTTAAAACACATAAAAAAAATATAATTGAAATTATAGGGTTTCCATAGATTGTGAAAATGATTGATGCCCACGCGTTAATGATGAAGAAACAAAAAGTCATGCTATCAAGGACACCCTACAAACCGGGATGATTAAAAACTTGATTGGGATTTAAGTGGGATGTCTCATGTATTTGCATACGCTTCGATCACTTAAGCGGTTGTGTTGCTTTTTCGTTCGCTTCGTGACACAGAAAAACCTACTAAGTAATCCTTACAAATTATGTCTTCGAATTCGTTATGCATAAGGAGGATTGCTTTATCTTTTTCGCACTCGCGATCAAAAATAATAATTAAGGGACACGCATTAACACTTATTTGTTTATTTAAATTTCTTTTATTACCGATTTAAACCTGATTTTGTTCAAAAACTATTGGTGAACTAGTGAGAGAAGATTGATTGTAAACACTTGTTCACGACTATTTCTATCGTCATCATAAAGGAGCGTAGTGAAAGCCGCTTATCCTCGCAGGTGGCCTCTCGTCGTCGGCTTTTCTTGTCTATATCTAAGAGATTATCTAAGATGCTGCCGGCCGAAGCATAAATATAATCCAACCGAACCCGTGTGGGAACGGCTTTTATATCCAACTCGCGGACAAACATCACGACTAACTAATTGTTTATTAAGAAACATCTTAATCAATCATAAAAATCGAAAAATTTATTTAAACAAAAACGATTTAAGTTTTGATTTTTAATTTAATATTGACATCAATTTAAATTAACCGCCTTAATTATTTTTTACTAGCGTCCTCTACATTCACCACGATCACTCACGCTGTTTTTACCATCCCAATTGTTTTTTAGCCACCATTTTAACAAAGTGGATGTTTATCATAAAAATTATTACTTTTGTAAGAAATATCGTTGTATAATCCATAAAAGAAAATCTGTAAATACCTACTTTACTTTAATTAATAATATTTAGAAGTTTTTTTTTTAATTTTTTAGATTAACTTAAACGTCAAAAAACATAACCACACTTAAGTCACAAAGGAAATTTATATTTTTTTAAAAAGGTACTAAATCTAACTCTTTATTATTTATATTTTCTCTAAGATTATTTTCTTTGAGCCAAAATTGCTGTCTTTATAAACATTTTTCTTAACAACACTTTCTATAAAAATGGGATTTTTACACATTCTTAAAATGTGCGGTCATAATAAAGTGATTTAAAAGTAAGCGGTTTTCTTGTAAAGACCAGTTCGTGTATGCATAAGTTAAAAGGAGTGGCTCTGGTTGATTCTTAAGTTGGATCTACTACAGGGTGTTTACAAAAATATGTCAAACGAAATTTAGAGCCCCTTATTTTAAACTAAACAATTTTTTAAGAAAATTCAAATTCTATCTAAATTAATTAAAAATCAACTAAATATTTGTTATTAAAGTTTTTCTTTCTTTAAATTTCCATACACTCTGTGTGAAAACGTAGCAAAGAAGCGTGGTGAGTAAGAAACGGTTGAGTGCCATTGGCCCTAAGGAGGTTGCGGAGACTTCTTCGTTTCAGACACGCTCAACGTGTCTATCCGGTTAAATAGGGAATAATTATAAACATTACAATCACGTGTTCCGCTTTATAGCGAATAAGTTTCTATGAAGGTTGCAAAACGAAAGAGATTTCCAGAAAAAAGGAAATTGTAATTCAACAAACAAAAAAATGAATCATTTGATTTGACTACCAACAGCATGAAGAATGACCTTTTAAATGAATAGTGATCATAAAAAAATAATTTAAATTTTAAAATTGTTCATCCGATCGATTGAAAAACTAGATTTAATAAGGTTTTACCATATCTGGTAAGTTTCTATTAACGTGGCCTTTGATGACACTTGAATTTGCTATAAAACGGTGTTTACGATCAGAGCCTGATCTTGAAATCGATGAAACCTACAATTTTTGACCTTCTTAAAACCGGATATCTCTCAATTTTTCTTTATTTTGATTTAATAGTTATTAAAATTTATTAAATTACGTTGCAATAAACATTTATCTTTATACTTTTTTTTGTTGAACTTTTCAGAGATTTTAACGAGTCCAAAGTTAACGGTTGTGATTTTTTTCTTTGCAGTAGTAGACGAGAAGAAGAAGACGAAGGCGTTCGTGGTAACTAAGACATGAAAAACGTGAAAAAAGAATCGAAGACTGGCGCCGTGATGCGTGCGGTCATCAACTACAAAAAAAAACGGTTTTGATTGAAGGCGCCACACTTCCTGTTCACTCATTTTATTCATTAAAAAAGATATCTTCGAGATTTCATCAACAACAAAAAAATCCTGTTGGTAGAAATATGCCAGAACATTTTTAAGTTGGAATTCACAAGATAGAGATGGTTAGCAGTTTCGTATACTTGGAATCCCTGATGAATAATAAAAAATCAGTTATCGAGGAAATAAAGAAGAGAATACTCCAAGCCAACAGGATTGGATTATGCCCTTATTGCAGAAAGACCAAGAGGAGACATTAAGGAGACTGGAGATTGTTTAGAAAAGTATATTTTTATTTTATTTATAGATAAATACAGAGCGGGATAAACCCAATTATACTGTATCTCTATTTTAAACAAAACTTAAAACTAAGCTCAATCTTAAATTTATAGGTAGACGAATATTTTAACAAGATGGCGCTCGACGAGGACTAGGATCCGTATGCTAAAAGATGTCAACTGTAAGCCGATCAGCTGACCTTGCCAAAAACATAAATCAAAACGCAAAAATCTCGGTGGCACGTACATACCAAATTACCTAACTAACTTTGCACAGTCATATTTATTGTTAATCATCCCAGGACCTAAGAAGACTGTAGGTCAGGTTGGAGACAGGCGTGGGATGAAGATGATTATAAGGAAATGTTAAGGCAGGCCAAGGTTTACAATGAGCTGTACGAAAACCATATGAACGCAATCGTATAGTTTTGGGCTGATATTGTAATACTTTTTATTTTGCGTATATATACGATCTTGCTCCTAAAGGGTAAATTGCAGCTTATTATTGTTCATAGAAACATTATTCCAATTACACTCAGTTTATTTCAAAATTTCTGGTAAATATAAAATAACTCCAATAAAACTGGAATTAAGATAAGAGAGTTACTAAGAGAGTTAGTATTTCCCAGACACGTTGACAAGATTAGATAGATCTTGTGGCACGTCTGTGTGATTCTGTTTTTGGGAACAAATGATCTAAATACGAAAAGGGACCTCCAAAATAATTTAAGAAACGATTTGGGTTCAGTAACCACGCTAACCGAAATGCAAATTGGAAAAAAATATCTGAAGCTAACTTGGTCAGTCTTTAGAAGTTCAAAAACAAGTCTGGGATTAACATGACCACGCAGAAATTTTCAAGAAAATATCAGGAATTACACATGACTAATTGAAGAAGATTTTTATTGCACTCCAGACATTAATAAAAGACCACACACTGTAAAACATTCATCGGGAGACGATAAAACCATGAATCATATTGATAAGTTTATCAAAGTGACACCCAAAAAATGCGTTTGGAGATTTTGATGATTTTTGAGGATTAATTTTACAAATGAGTTCATCAGAAATTCTTAATAAACATCCAAGCACAAAATTAATATACCAATGTTAAATCAAGAATTTTATTAATTTTTTTATCGATTTTTTCCGCTCTTATAAATATTCATAAGCGATACAGGAAACTTTCTACGATCTTGGAAATAACAAAAAAAATGACCCATATATTCCTAGGAAATAATAAAAAGGAAACAGAAAGAGTACAAAAAACTCATTATATCTCTTTCAACGTTTCTAAAGTCGGGTTCTTTTTTGCTTTGACGATTAAAACCGCAAATTCAAGGTCTTTCTATGGATGGAGAAAGCTATGGAGCAAAAACTAACACGAATAGAGAAAGAAAATGGTGATGTTTAAAAAAAAACTAGAAAGCTAGTTTTTGAGGATTAAGTTGGTATTTTGAAATTTGACATATTGAGATTTTTGAAGGTTAAAATCGGGTCGAAAATAAAATGGTAATGGTGATTTTTTTAGCGTGATCTTATTTTTATTACACTAAATAGAAGATATATAACGAAATCTTTGGCAAAAGATTGGTTTAAACGCGCCAAAAATTTGGAAAATGTTCGAAATTCTAACTCTTTTAAACGTTAAAAGTTTAAAACAACCTAATAATATCCGCAACAAACAGTTACACAACTTATTACCGCATCGTTTCAAACGAAACGTTAAATAACTTTCGTTTTTATTTAATTTTTTTGTTTCGTCTTCTCTCAAACTCATAAACAATTTAATTAATTTTTTATTATGGGTTAATTGAAATTTTATAATAACAATAAACTAAGATAACCTTACTTCTATATTCATAGTAATTTAATACCAACTGTATGTTGTCAAATTCATTTTTGTATGTTCGCCACTTATTTCACTGAATGTTTGTTCTCATTTTAAAATATTATAAGTAAACAATGTAAATTATTTATAATTTTTATCTTGACATACCCACTTTAAACATTACATCATTTGCACAAGTAGATAAAATTTAAATCCCAAAGACACAGAATTTTGATCTTACACGCTTTAACATGTTCTTCTTTTTAGCTTATAAAATAAAATGTCGTCTTACCTGTTTCAAGATCGGGAAAAGAATACAGTCAAAACCACGTAAAGAATATCAAACAAACACTGAGTTAAAATATGAAAAAAATGAAGTCCACTTTATTAAAGCAAGTCTGCCAGAAAGTTTCGGTTGTGTATTTTTTAACAATTTCAGCACATCGGTAAGAATGAAATCACGTTTTACAATAATTAAATACGGAACGAAGGAATAACGCGGAGAGACGTTTACACACAGACGTCTTACGAACGATTGTTTCGTACCGCGCAAGTCTGCTCCGGATATAGCGGAGTATAACGCGTCGATAGAGAAACGACGACGATTCTACGATGCGTGTTGGCGTTGTGAACGTTGTGGTGGTGGTACTCCATGCTCATGTGTTTTACCTGCGCCGCTACATCGTTTGTATTTCGGTTCTTAAACCGCATATTATGTTGATATTTACTTAAAGTAAAAACAGAAAGTAAAAATTTACAACAATTTACTTAATTATTGTAATTTTGGTGTTCTTTTTGTTCCGAGAATTGTTTGTGTGATTCATTTCATATTAAAATGTTGAATGTTTGACATTGACATTGTCAACTTAACCTCTAAAATTATCAACATGTAAAGATGGATTCAAAAAATCAGAATAACGAGATTTATAGGATTTAAAGATTTTTTGTTTGTAGATAATAGGTTAAATACTTTTTATTTCGACATGATATCTCAATTAATTTCGAATATACATTTTTTTTTCAATTTTCAGCCAGAAAAACTAGGCTAAATAGACCTATGCGAAGTTAGCCCCCATTTTTCTAGCCCCTAATTAGATAGGATTTTACATGTATAGTATTTTGATGATAAGAAGAGAACCACTGAACCGATTTTGATAAACAATGTCTCATTCGAAAGCTGAATTCTTAGCCAATAAAGTTATTTGACAAGGTTTTATAACCTATTTGTCAAGTTTGACGTACAGTTTCATAGCCGAATACTGAATTTTCGCTTATTTTAAGTGACATTACAAAATACATGTCTTTAGTTATTTAAATTTTTTATGAAAATGATAAAGTTTTTTGAAAAATAATAAGAGTAAAAAAAGTTTTAGAATTAAATTCCACATGAAATGAAGTAGTATTGTATAGAATACACCAATAGGTTAAAAAAATCTGTCAAAATTTAGGAGACCATCACCCTTAATCAACCCTTTGAAATGCCTCAATTGGTCTCAACTTGCTACCAATTAATCCCTCAGTACACTCATAACGTATACCAAATTTGGTTTTTCTAGCTTAATGTATTACAAAGATATTCAATGTTTTAAAAATTTAAGACCCAACTATGAAGGCCTATAACTCCTCAGGGGTACAACTTAGTATAGAGATAAGTTGCGTTAAATCATCTTAATTTATTGTCCTCTACATGTCCCTGCTCTGTGTCGGTTCTTATGTGAATCACCCTGTATAGCTCAAATCTTTATTAAATTTGCTTTAAAATGTTCTTTATTTCATGATATCAAAAATAAAGAATGATGCATAATCCAACGTCTTGGCTGCTTCGTTTTAATTATTTGTTGGGCACCTGATTCTTTTGCAGAAAGTGCTAAACATTGAAATTCTATTAGTGCGTTTTATTTGAGTAAAATAACAAGTTTTATTTGAAATGTTTCGAGAAAACGAGTACTTTTTTATTGAAAGGTTGAGTTTTAAAATCAAAAAACGATTTAAAACCGCTTCGCCCCGTCGACTTTACATTTTTTGTTTATTCACCTCCAGTATTCCTTCTTCACACAATAAATTAAGGAGGCGATGTTTGGAAGTTGATTCGCTAATAACACATTTTAGTTGATATGCGGGCATTTAAGGGCGATAAAGTAGTTTTGAAAAATAAGACTCAAGACTGAAAATAAGATTTATGCTAAATGTTAGGTGATTAATTCATTATTAGGTATTAATTCATTTTTTTCGTCACAATAAATTCTCTTTTCTTTCCAGCTGAGCTTCGAAGTAAAATCCAAGGGAAACAACATCCATTCGGTAAGTCGTTTGCAATTTTATTAATTTACCAAAACATATCGGGATAATTCGCGATTTTAATAATGTGTAATGTTGCTGTAATTGCCAGCTTGAAAAACGGTACCATCGATTAAATTTTTGCGTTTTGTGCTTGAAAAATTATAAAGCTTTAATTATTAACATTGTCAAAACATAAAGTAATTTGAAATCGAGCGTAAACCACTCCAAATAATACTAGTATAATCTAATTCAAACTTTTTACGGGGGGAAACTCTTTTTTTGTGTCAAATAAAATGATTTCTTTGGGAAAATTTTTGGCTGCCAAATTATGTGGTATTTCAATTTAAACTTTTGCATATATTTTCATGATATATTTAACTGATTCTCTACGTTGCTTTAAACCTTTAAGTTATTTTAATTATGAATTTATTTAAAATATAAAAGTCGTTTTAAGTTTATAATTAAATTCCAGGCAATAATTAGAAATTTCAAGAATTTTATAAGTTATCAAGTCCTCATGATGATTTGTTTTTAAGCTGATAAGATAAAATTAATCTTTATTATATATTTTTTAAATAACCGGTTGAATCACGATCGTGTTTATTTATAAATAAAAATAACCGCATAATTATTTCTGATCTTGATCGTTTTGAGATAAAATTTAAGTTTATAACCGTGAATTATGGACCGTTTTGAAACGTGTACTTGGTTATTATAGGTGACAAAGTGGGTATTAAACTACTTCCTGTACACCTTAAATAATGATCTGTGTACGCGAAGGTTTAAGAGGTTAAGTTAGGAGGTGGAAGTTTATATTAGTTCAAGAAGTTGGTAAAATATTAGAAGTCCATTAAAAATCGACCCTTCTCCTACCTGTTTTTCTAAGAAAAAGCTGAGCCCATCCCGTCTGGTCCTTTTCATCGTAACCCAATGATTTTCTATTGTCCAAAAACTTTTTTTCATTCATTCCGGTTGAAAGAACTTTGGTTTAAAGAATGGTTTTTATCTGATTCTATTTTATTTGAAGCCACCGCCCATAATTTTTTGATGTTAAAAGAAATTGACTATGTTATTTATTATTTAATTTTATTTAATTTAGTTATAATTTTTTCTAACAACTAAAAAAATTAGATTAAACAACAATATTTTTTCTTATTTTTTAAAAATCCTTTTGGGCGATACTCTTCTAAATAATTTAATTGTTTCGTATTGATGGCACCTCTTCTTTTTTGCCGGATCAACTCAACAGCATCTTCGTAATCCATTCCCAACTCAATAAGAGTTATTGCGACCATAACAGGTGCTCTTCCCAATCCTGCCACACAATGAACTGCAACGCATCCTTCGGGATTTTCTTGATAAGCCATTTTTAATAAATCAAACCATCGTTCAACGAGATCTTTCGAAGGGGATCCACCATCGTCATAAACTAAATCGTGGACTTCAACACCACGTTCCATCAACCATTCAATGTTATAACTAGGCTTACAAACCCTGATCACATGTTTCACCGTGTGTTTCTTCAGCTGATTTAAATATAGATTAATTGTGCAGTCAGATGGCATATCAGTGATGAGGAATTTATAATTTTTGTATTCAAATTCCGAAGCTTCAAGTCTCATTTTAAATTTGTTTATTGCTTTTGCTACTTTAATTTTCTTATGGATGTTGATCTTTACAGAATTCAGCACTATCCAAAACGAATTCTAACGTTTTTGCGACGTTTTCGTAATTTTCAAGAATAGTTTCCATACACATTTGATAACTCAATCAATTCAAAAAGAGAACTTATTTTTTTTCTTTGTTCTAGTGCGGATTGTGGAATAAACACTACTGAATGAGCTTTCGCAACCGGTGAGTATTCAATTAAATGTTATCACTTTTTGTTTTTTCTAGAAGTGTTCGTGTGGCGCCGCTGAGTGAGCCAAAAATAAGTTGTTCTTGTGGATCGTGCCCGCGGAACCCGATAGTATTCCGTGTATTTATTTTATACCGGTAGATATCAGTGTTGGGTTTACTGTTCCGTCGAAAGATTATTACAAGGGCCACCAGTCTGGCTGCTTCGACAACGCGCTTTCAATGAATGACCTCTGTGTGTGTGCGCGCCAGTCTCTGGTTGTGACTCTCTCTGTGTGTATTGGTAAAACACAGACGTAGTCGACGCAGATGATGCTTTAAAAAAAATCAGAGGCATATTGGACGAATTTAAAAGAATTTAATCGAAAGAGTACAATCACTAAAAATATGTTTCTTAGAAAACGATATCTGAATTATTTTGGTTCCGATTAACTATTCCGTTTTAATCAGAAATACTTTTACAATCGCGGTTATTTCTTGAAATTAAAAACAAAAATTTTATGAGTAATATAATAATAATAATACAACTTTAAATAATATAAATACGGTCATAGTTTCCTGTTGATTCCTTTACGAATCAATTAAAGGAATTTTCGTCCTTGACGACTTCTTTGTTTCCTTTTCTAACAATTACTCATAGGAATAAAACGTAATTTGCGGCTAAGAAAGCCATTCTAAACGTTATTTTTAAAACTGAAACCAAGTGGGGGGATTTAAAATACAACAAACAAAACGCTCCTATATTCGGTATAAATATTGATGTCGCCGTTTGCGATTGCTATGAAACGTGATCTCCGGTAACGTGGAGAGAGATCTGTTTATCTCGAATGTCAGCAGAAACTCAAAACAATAAATAATTATCTCAGTTAATAATATATACCAAATTTGCTAAGAAATAAAAGAATTATTTGGTGCTTATTTATTTATTAAATGTAGAAAAAAATATTTAACATGTTCTGGGAAACCATAGAAAATCGACGACAAAATCGGAAATCAAAGTAACCATTTCATTATTATGGCTTCTTTAAAACGTATCGAATATCAAAGAGATCATTATTACGTTTATATTATGTGGCGCAGTGAAATACAGAACATTGTGCTAATCCCGATAGGATTTGAATCACTAACTTTGATTTTATATTATCACTTAATGGACGACACGAAGAAAAGAATATGTTGTAAATAACATAAAGACCAGAAAAGGCTCGTATGCTGCTAATAAGTTTATGTTGTTAAGATAAGAAGTAAACTTTGTGACAGTTTAGTTAACCTAATAATAATCAAGGAGATAACTCACGGTAGTGGATGAAGAAGACAACCGAAAATATCTTTTTATTTATCAAATTAATTTGGAGAAGAAAATTTATAGATAAACCTTTATTCCATTAACATACCACTCTGCAATGAACAAATACACACTATCATGCAAAAGGGATTACTTATATTTGTAGAACGCAAAGACAGAATGAAAACCTGAAGAAGTTACTAGACCAATAGACAAGATACAAAAATAAAATCGCTACAAT